TTAGGTCCTTCAGGGGAAGGGGAAGAGCTGGGTTGAATGCAATTCCTAGCTTTAGGGTTTTGCAGGCTAAATTTTAACTAATTTTTTAAAAATATAAACATATTTGGGACTCTGTAGTCTATTTCAGTCACTTTCTCTGTGGCTACCGGCTCTGCCTCTTGGGAGCTGGGCAGGGATGTTTTTACGTCAGCTGCCCTTTGTGGAGCATCCAGAGGTGCAGTGTGGGGACTGGTAACAATAAACAGCGTGGTCCCCAAGTTTGTAGCCAGCGGTCTCTGGTCACTGATTCTGGCCAGCAGACCCCACCACGCTTAGGCTGTCACTGGGTTGTCTGCATCCTGACACAGGATGGGATGCCTCCAGGATACGGATCCACACTGCACCCACACAGCCCACCCACCCTGCAGGAAGCGGCCCCCAGACCTGATTGATGGAGGCCAGCAGCGGTGAGGGGCTGCGCAGTCCTGCTCCCTTAGGAAGCCTCTCCGCGGCCCTTTGGCTCTGTGCCCACCGTTAATCACCTGGAGGCAGGGTGGTACGGGGCTGGGCTAATGCACTTCCCTCCTCTCTGGGGAGTCTGGGACCCCAGTCCATCCCAGACCGGATATATCACACTTCTCCTGAGACCTCTGCTTTGCCCAAATGTGGAAGGCGGGGGGCCGTCCTAACACGGAAGCTGCTGAGCACAGGCTGCTTCCAGGAGCACTAGAGTCCCAGTAAGCAGGGGTCTCGGCCATCCTTCATCTTTCTGAGGCCAGCACCCCCGTCCGGGCCTCCTGCTCAGTAAGTCAGTCAACAGGTGCTGGCCACAGAAGTGGGAAAGGGCGACCTTTCTGTAGAACACAAAGGATTGGACGGCACCTTCTTACCAACTCACAGAGGTCCTCAAGTGTCACAGCGGCCCGATCCGCATTAAAGGGAGAGAGATACAAATACAGAAAAGGAAGATAAATAAGCAGAGATGGTAGACAGGTGGTGGAGTTCATCTCGTGTGAGTGGCTTTGGAGGCCACAGAGGAGGAGACTCAATGCATTTTCTTTTTGCCTTTTATGCTTTGGATGGAGCGGGCCGGTTGATTTGGCCTTCATTTCTAATTAATTTATCTATCTAGTAATTCTGAGTGAAACAGCATGGCGGGACACCCTGTGGCTATCAAAATTAAAAATGTAATGGCTACCTATATTTTAATGTCACAGGCATTTCCAGTAGTACGATGCTTGTCACCACAATGCTAGAAGTTATCTGGGTTTCCCACTTGGAATCTGTGGGCTATCCATTTAAGTAAGACGGACTTTGTTTTTATGTGTCTCTGATACAACTAAATGTCAACTACTGTGATCTCAGAGTAACTGTTTTACCCTTTGATACAGGAGACGTAGGAGAGACGTGTGTAGCATTGAATCCCCGAGGTCACCACTGATTCAAGGCCAATGTTTGGGACAGAGTTCATAGGAAGCCCCCTGCCATCTCTGAGAGGAATCCCTTTTGCTTGCTTGTCATCTCTTAAGAGGAAACGATACAGGTTTCCTCAACCATGCATTGATCCAGAAGCATGGATGCCCCATGGCTCACCCGGGGGTTACAGCCTGACAAGCCCTGTGCCACCATCAGGGGACAAGGCTGAGATAAATAAGCAGAGTGCCAGGAGACTGCACTTCCTTACCCCTAACTTTCAGAGCATCTGCCTGGGGCTGTGCCTCGCTGTGTAACCGCCTGGAAGCCCCTATGGGTGAGATGCTGAGATCATTGCCAGGCCCTTCCTGTGACGCCGGTCTCTAGGGCAACGATGCCAGTGTTGATGCCTTAAAATAATGGAGCTGAGAGAAATCAAGTGAGTGCCCAGCCCCCTCGTCACACGGGCGCAGCCGAGGTCAAACCTGAAGGGGTCCCAGAGCCAAGCACATGTGTGTCCTTGGGCTCCCCCTCCACTGCTACCAGCCCTTGTGCTGGGCACAGAGATAGCCTGCCTACTCCAGGGAGAGGAGGCCTTGCTTGAGGTCCTTCCGCTTGCCTGCTCACCCTACTGCCCACAGGTCAAGACGCTCAGAGCTCATTTCTGTAGCTGTGCACACGCACGGCACGCGTATGTGCACACAGAGAGTGTGCATTTCATTGCCGCGATAGCGTTAATGGAGAGTGTTAGCTGTAAGAGCTTGGCTAATGATGATGATGGTGCACAGACAGGGAGAGAGGAGCAGTTCCAAGGGCCCATGTAAGGCCACACGCAGCTTACCTGTGTCCCCTGGGGCGCGGCAACGGAGCAGCAATCTGTGGTACCCAGCCCTTCTGGTTCCCACAGTGACCCAAAGAGCGTGAGCCGAGAGTGTAAACATAAACTCTTTCCCAGGCACCACCAGGGGACATCAGCCAGCTCTGTCCCTCCCTGGTTCCCACCGAGGCAGCAGGACCCTCTGCACAGGACGTGCTGGTGGTGAATCTGTCACCAGATGCTACTGCCCTGCGTCTGTGATGAGATCAGCCCTCAGAGGCCCTTCTGTCCTTTCCTTCCCAAAGCGACCTGACCACCCCTTCACTGTCACAGTTCTCCTTTGGGGAAATGAATTGTGGGGGCCCTGGGAGGGAGGGACCTCTTTCCTCTGATGTCCCCGCCCTGCCTGGAAAGCACGTGGGATGTCCACATACCCGAAGTCTGGCTCGAGAATCTGGCAGTGATGTAGTTAACTTCAGGCTTGCCACTTGGCCTCTTGCAGGGACCCCACACCTCACGCTCACCCTCCAGAATGCTAATCCTCTGCTCTGCAGCCCGGCCTGGCCGGGCCCACGTGCTGCCTGGCAGTGTTCTCTGTCAAACTGTCCCCTTCCCCCAGTGGATAATGAGAATTCAGTTCTTATTTGGAGCAAGAGTTCCCAAGGGGTCGCATGGCCCCATAAGGAAAGTTCATGATTTCTTATTGGTTTAATAGCATCTATTTTGTAATTCTGAATGCACTCGGTTTAATTGGATTTGTTAAAGCAACCAAGGGGAATAGGTGTCTTATGATTAAAATAAAATACTAAGATTATTAGTATAACAGGCTGGAAAGGCCTTGTCCCCCAGCCATGCGCTTGAAACGTGCAAACTGGCCTCACATGAGCAGAGGCCACAGGACCCGTGGCAGAGCCAGTTCTTCCACGCCCGGGATGGGGCACAGGGGTTCCATTTCCACCCAGGTGTCTGGGGTATCATCTGCTTCCTCCTCACAGTCCCTTCCCGTGCACAGAAGGAAACAGGGCTGCTGGCAATGGCTTGGCAGGTGGCAGGGTGGACACCTAGGGGCTTAGAGCTCTCTGGATCCCTGCTCACCCTGCGGGAGAGCCTGGTTGGTCCCCTGTGTTCACTGAATGTCAATCCCCACAGCTGCCAGTGGTTGGATAAGTGGCTGCTCTCAGGACTGGTGACATGGGGGGCCCTGGCTGTGACTTTGTAGGAGGTGCAGTGTGGCAAACTGACCCAATCACTGACCCAAGATAGAGGTGGGACCCCAGATCCCATCTGGGTAAGACAGCACTGGGACCCTGCAGTCAAACACCCCCTTGAGTAGTGACATCCCTGCCTTTCCAGGCATGGGCTTTGCTGGATCCTGAGGACACAGGGACACAGAGACCTGCACGTCAGCATATAGCTGTGTCCAATGGCCTTTGCTGTGAGTGCTCCTCCCGCACCAGGGACCACCTAACCTGGAGCATAATCACCTCCAGCCACCGTTCCCCATCTGCTTTTAGCAGACGCCCACAACGGGAAGTGTGTTTTCTAAGAGAGATGTTTCCTGGGGGAAACTTGAAGTCTTCTTCAGTGATCCCTGATTGGGAAGCTAGGCCTGAGTGTGGTTTCCTGGGGCAGGAGGCTGTCACACAGATGCTGGGGTGGCGCGGATTGTGTGGCCCTGAGAACCACGGCTGGAAAGGCAGTCACAGCCAGAGCTGTTTTAACTGAGTTAGGCCTGGAGGAGAGAGGACAGACTGCAGTCAGGGCAGAGGGCAGGCGGACCACGGGCCGGAGCTGTGGACTCCGTGCTTTCAGCACCCTGTCATTCAACGCACCCCACTTCCAGATAACACGGGGCCTCATCATCCTGTCCTTTGCAATGTCGGGAGCTCAAGCTCTGCGGAAGTGCCCTTCCTGGGCACTTAACTGCCTCTGGGCTTTTCTATGGTAATTTAAATTTACAATGTCCTGGGACAGACTCGCCTCACTGGGCGGACAGAGCCTGGACCCAGGCTGTTCTGTAGGTCAGACCCTTCCTCGTAGTTATCCCAAGCCGAAAAGAAGGGAGATGCCCCTCCCCAGCCCTGCTCTGGGGATCAGGACCTGTGGCGAGCTCTGAGGTGGTGGAGCGCTCAGAACTGAGTCAGCAGAGAGTGGACTAGGTGAAGCCAGGCATGGACACTGCTGCCTGGGGCTGGGCATGTGGCATTGTTCACCTGTGTCCTACAGCATTGGGGACTTGGGGACCCCTCTGGATTTCATGTCCCTGTCAACCTGCTGATCTAGGGAGGTATGGGGGAGCCCTGGGCTGCAGCAGCTGTCTCAGCCTCCTTCTGCCCAGCAGGCTCCCACCCCTGCTGGAGGCCAGGCCAACACTGTCTCTTCCTGTACGGTGGCCCTCAGGGGCGCCCCTCAGCCTTCCTGTGCCCACTGTCTGCAGTCTGCTCTTGGCTCTCGGGGTATCTGCATGGCTCCTGAAAGTTCTGGGAGCCCTTTGCAAAGGGCTGTGACACAGGGAAGTTAGATTGCTGCCTCTGTGGATTACACGGGCCGCCTTACAGGCCCTATAGGTGACTTTAACTGCCGATATACTGTTTCCCGTCCACAGCACACACAGCTCGAGGCCCAGAGGGGCCAAGTAACTTGTCTGAAGTCACAGAGACTGCGTAGGGACCTGCCTTTTCCAACACATGGGCATGAAAACAGAAACTCAGCTGGAGGGGTATGCGCTAGAGGAAAGCCGGCTCTGTTCAGGACTGAACCATTGTCTGCTGGGCTCCAGCACTGGGCTGACCTGTAGGAACTTGCTCTCCGGCGCCCCCAGTGGCTGGATGTGGGTGACTGAAGAAGGAGCCCAGCGCTGTGCATTCTCCTGGTTTGTCTGGGTGAAGGTGGGTCTTCACACAGGGGCCCACACCTGGGGCAAGGGAGGTAAGTAAGGAGAGGGCAGACAGTTGGGAAGGAGAATCAGCTCCCTGGCACCTGAGGACCCCTAGCCACGTCCCCGGCCAGCAGCTGCCCTTCCCGGCCGTGCTCAGGGCGAGCTGCGGCTTGTAAATAATGCACCAGCTGGTGTCTGGGGTCAGAAATACAACACCCACCAGAAGCGCAGAGGTTCTAGAGCCGCTCACTAGAGAGAGCAGGAAAAAGCAGTTTGAAGCAGGAGTAATTTGGCAAAGTTAAGGGAAACCAGCAGCATAAACAGGGCCACCACCGAGCAGACTTACCCTGTCCCAGGTCCTCCTCCTCCACTGGGAAACTTTGTCACCAGGCAACAAAAGACTTGGCACCTGGGGCGAATTAGCATAATCTCAGTCCAGCCTACAGAAGGAAAGGAGGGAGGGCTCAGCGTGTGCCAGCTTCCTGTCCGGGGGCCAGTCCCCGAGCAGAGGGACGGGGTCGACTGGAGGCACCTGTCCACAGGGCCCGCCCCTGGCTCACAGGGACAGGGCCACAGAGGTCCCTTTCAGGGACGCAGCTCTCTGTAGCATGCACACAGCTTCCTTTCATTTGCCTGTGTGTTTAGCTTTGCTTGCCTGGCTCGTGTCTCTGTTCTTGGTTTGAGGGAGAGCTGTCTTTTATGCTTATGGACTTGGGTTCCATTTTTTGTAATTCTGTTTCTCTTCAGATTAAGCCTGAGTAACCATAATGCTCCTAAAGTCATGCGATCCTGTAATTATTTTCCTCCTGATTGATTTTATACCATGTTGTTTCTGCAGTAATCATCTGTAATGAAAGCCTGGGATGGACTCTGGGGACCCCGCTTTCTTGGTGTTTCTGGGGCGACTTTCCCCTAATAAGGACTGCAGTGAATGCATTTGTGCATTTATAGGCATTTTTCATGTTTTTTTTTTCTTTAGGTTTCCAGGAATTGAGTAAACTAGCAAAACAAGTTAAGTACTAGCATTATTAGGCAGCGTAGAAAAATTAGAAATTGCTTATATTCTATATTACACATGGAAATAAAAACTAAAAATGCTTTAAGTTTCTCTAGCCAGAGACAAATTAAGGAAAGAAGTTAAAGAACAGCAAATAAATCATTTTAAATTCAGAATTAATTAAATTTTGGAATTAATAAATTTTCGCTTTGGAAAAAACCAAAGTGAAATGACTTTTCTAAATAAATTAAATTCTATTTCTAAATAAATAAGATGACTTTTATTTATTTAGAAATAAAAGGAAAATGAAGAGGCTGGGGAGGTAGCTCAGCAGCACACTCCTGCATGGTGAGCACGAGGTCTCGGTACCAAGAAAAACCAGAAAAAACAGTAAAAATGAACCATAAAATAAAAAAGATAACTGTAAAACTTTTGAATACATAAATACCACTACTATTTGCAGTTCACTCCAAAAGAATTAAGTACACCACTTAAATTACATAGTAAGCGGACTTAAATGAATTAGGAAGGAATAACTACAAGATTAAAAATTATTCAAAACTGGGACTAGAGATTTAGCTCAGTGGCATAAGCTCCTGCCTTGCAAGCAGGCAGGCGTGAGTTCGATCCCCGGTACCGATAAAAAGGAAAAAGACAAAAAAAATTATTCAAAACTATTGGCCAATATATTTCAAATTGGTATATATAATTTAAATTAGGAAATAAATAAGTATCAAATGGATAAGCAAAAAATGTACCGGAAGGTATGTATATTTTAAGATGCAGATAGATGAAGCCTTATAAAAATTTAAACCCCTTGTAACTTGAGCGCTGGATGGAAATTTTGTACTGATGAACATCCTGGCTTCTAAAACACCTGCAGCTCATGCCGTGTCACGATTGCGCAATAACAGTTGGATAGATTTGCTAATGCTCATTTTTTAACTGAGTGTCTATCTGTTACTATTTTGCAGGCAGCTCACTCGTTTGGCGGTCAGGACTGTGGTTTCTTCCACATTTCTCTGTTTCTGTTCTCTCTTCCCCTCCTTGGGGAGGAGCTTGGTGTTCGGCACCAGGCCCTTGGTGGGTGTGGCCCCCATCCCTTGCTTGTGAGCAGATCTCGGCTCCTGCCCTGTGCCCAGCCCCCACATGGGCACGGCAGTGGCTCCCGCACCTCCCCAGGCTGCCCACCACTCCCTCTATGCCGCACGTCGTCTGTGAATGGACGTGCAGACGGCCTCATTGGTGACCTGCGATGGCCTGGGGATCTACGCAGTGCTGTTTGTATTAGCTCCACACCTGTGAGCAAGGTCTCGGCACGTCCCAGGAATGCAGGGAGATAGGAAATCCGAGATTGCAAGAGTGTGTCTGTCTCCTCGTGGATTTCTATTGACCTTACAGCTTGGTCAGAAAATCAGAGTCCAGGCCATCCCAAACCTTCTAAGGACGGTGACATGGGAGAGGGGTGCAGGAAGGTAGTGCCCAGGCTGTCCTCCGTGTCCCCCGGTGGGTGTGTGTCTAGGGGAGAGACCGCACTTGCCCTTTGTGAAAGTCCATGAAGCCCATGCGCCCACTAGTACAGTGTGTTTTTGCTTCCTCAAGGCAGAGGCCTTCTGTGGGTTTCTCCAACCCCTCTTAGCTAGGGGGCTTATTCCTGGCCCTTGCTGGCCCACCCTGCTTGTCCTGTTTGGCAAATCGCCCGAGTCCTAGAGGTGAGAGAAGTGGGGCGGCCCCCAGGCAGGCAAGGACAGTGCATGGATGCTGTGGTCTGGGGCCCTGCAGTGGGCATTCGGCCCTCGGGGCAGGGCATGGCTCACTGGTCACCTCCTCTAGAAGCCTGGCTGTCAGTTAGCGGGCAGGTGCTGGCTGGGCAGGGTCAAAGCCCAGAGTATTGAGGCTGTGGCACTGGGGCTCAGAAGTCCCCATGATGACCATGTGGCAGCATAGCTCAGTTTTGGACACAATCCTGGGAGTAAAGGCAGAGATGGCATCACTGTCAAAAAAGCTAAGGCAACAATCACCCAGAGCTGGGGCAAACTTGAACTGTGCCAGCTACTGACCGCCTTGAAGTTCTGATTTGGAGACAGGCTCCCATCTTTACAAGTCACCCAACAGAGGTAGATGGCCCTGCCGTGGGACCAGGCCAGGCCACCTTCAGGCTGGCAGGTGACCTCCCTCATCCTCACTGGCTTGTCAGAGAGCACAAGTTCTGACCTGGACTTTGGTTGCCTGAAGACCCTGCTTCTTATCCTGCGCCTCAGTGCTGACTCCCCAGACCTGGGGGTGCCACAGACCTCTGCCACTGACTCCACAGAGCAGGCAGGTGACCCCCTGCTGCACAGTCCCCCCAAGAGGACCCAGAGTGGAGCAAGGCCCTGCTCCTGCCCCTCCCAGAGCAGAAGGGAAGTGCCCTGCTTTGACTAACATCCGTATCTGCAGAATCCCAGAGTCCTGTAGCTGTGCTCACCTTTGAGACCCAGGAAAATTGTGACCAGTGTTTGGGAGGGAGGTGCCAACCCCAATCAGAGAGGCTTGGAGTCTTACCTGAGGCCCAAGTCAGATGCCAGGCTCTTTCATGAGTTCTGCAATTGCTTTCAGAATAATGTTGGAAAACCAGTATTAAAAACTGGGGACCTCACTTTTGCATTGGTGTCTTGGGACCACTCTGCCCAGTGTCTCCCTCCACTGGTCCCGGAAAGGGGGCCTGGTCCTCAGAGCTCAGAGCCCATGTTGGAGGAACAGGGTGGAAGGGCCTTTTCTTCCCCTCACCACTGTTCTACCTGGCATCATAAACGACCGCAGCCCAGATTCTAGAACGCTTTCTGAGAGGCAGGGCGGAAGAGACTCCTCCCATGTCCTGGACCCCGATGGCCACGTTTTGCCCCTCTTTCAATTTTCTGTCACATCTTAAAACAGTAGCGAGGGGAGGTGTCGACATGCAGAGTTCACATGCTCGTGGTTCTGGAAGTCTCAGGATGGCCTTGGACAGCCTTGAAGGCCAGCTGGTGACCCTCACTACCTCCAGCCTGGGCTATCACTGTGTTCACAGCTTTCAGAACAGCCTGGTCTCAGAACTGGGAAGGAGGCAGCACCCCGGATGTAATCTGAGAACCAGGTCTTTGGACCTTTTTGGTGGCATGGTCAGTGTCTGTGTGTTACCTTTTTTCTGGTTATTTTTGCCTGGGGAGAATGGACCTCAATGGAGGGGGGTAGTGGTGGATCCAGCCCAGGAGCTGTTTTCCCCTTATGGAAGGGAATTGAACGCAGAGGGATGGGTAAGCCAGGGTGGACGGTGTGCTGGGAAGATGGAGGGCCCTGTGGGTTACTTGGGAAGCCAGGTTGGAGGCCGCAGGGCCCTGAGATTCTTGGCATGTGGGTGGAACGCTGGGATGGGGTCTGTGGGTATCTGAACAGGACAGTGGGAGAGCAGGGGTATGGCGAGAAGTTCTCGGGTTTGGTGGAACATGTTAAGCAGAGACCCAGTCTTGAGAGCAGAAGGAGAATCTCCTGGACACATGACAACAGCTGGGAAGGGAGGAGGGACACTGTCCCCCAGGCCAGTCCTTGATAGACAAAAGAGACATTTCAGGTGGAGAAAGTATCTTTCCCGTCCCTTCCCAATGCTGTGTTTTGTGATACTTTCATATTCTTGCATCCACTGTGGTCAACACTGGTGCTTCTTTGGTTCAATTTATATGTCTTAACCACAGGAGTGTAAATTGGTATGACATTTTAAGTGAATGATTTGGCAATGCATAGCAAAACTGAATACCTTAGAAATTACCTCATAAATGTGCTAATCAAAAGATCCAGAAATTTATGTCCAGAAAATTATGTCACAGAGATGCAGTTGGTGGGAACAGAGTCCTCCCCAGGTACGAGCATGTCAGTGGCACCCCCACACACAGGATGGTGTCCTGTGGCAGCAGAAACAAGCTCTGTAGAGCAGTACCAGGGGGTCTTTCAGGGAGCTGCGGAGCAAGGGAGGCAAGGGGAGGACTGTGCACATCTCACAACCCATGTATGACGGGTGAGAATAATGCAGTGTAGGCAGGTGTATGGGTGAAACGTTTTGGGAGTGATTGCCTATAATCAGGGAACTGTGGATACTTTCTGAGTCAAAGTTGTGATCCAGAGACTCACATTTCATGGTCTTCCGTGGTGGTTTCAGTTTTTTTAACCTAATGCGTATATTATTTTCTAAGTGAGAAGAGGATGGTGGGGCGCAGAAGAGGCTGAGGTGTGGCTGTGGGAAATCTGGGTGGGTGGAGAGGGAGGCCCAGAGCTGTTCCTACACAGCCAGAGTACCCCTGATTCATGTGAGTGTGATGGTGACTGCAAGAACCAAGCCTCCAGCAGGAGGGTGCTGGAAAGCTTTGGCAATGGCCTCACTGCACTGGTCCCTGAGATTTCCCATGCGTTTTGGGGAGCCGGGGGCTCCCTGAGAAGCCCCATCCTTTCTGTGCTTACACCTGGGGATAGTTAGTCACTGTGTGCTCTCTGTTCCACAGGAGACCCTCCAGCTCTGACAGGACCATGCTGCAGAGGTGGCAGGTATGGTGAGCTCTGTAGGAAAACCCCGTGAGGATGCAGACCAGAAAAGAGCGCAGGCCCCAGAGACCGGAAGAGGAAATATGCAGGTTGACCAGGAGGGACCTTGAATTTTTAGGCACTAAATGTCCCAACTCTTTCCTGATGAAGTGACTCTTGAGCGCGAGGATCAGAGCTAGGGAGTGCACTTGCGTGTGTGCACCATGAGTGCTCTGTGGGTACACACCTTCCCCCAGGACTTGCACACGGACACACACTTGGGGCAGATGCAGATGCAGTGTCACTTCTTATGCTTGGAAAGAATACACATGGCTGACACCAGGTAGGGTTCCCCATGAGGAAATGAGCCTGAGGGAGCCGGTCCTGAGGTCAGGAGAAGTCATTCCTGAGGTCCTGAGGGGACAGATCAGCCTCCTGTTGGCAAGGCTTCTTTCTCTGTCCATCATGTCCCCCTGTGTATTCACCTGGTCACAAAGGCCCAGCGTTGTTTTCATGCCTCCTGAGTGTCACTGAGCTCTGTCTCTCTCTCTCCCTGGTCCCTAAGGGTTGCCTGGCACGGGGCTGATCCCATGCCAGATGTGGGAAGGACAGGACCCTGTGTGGACCACCATCCCCAGGGGACTGTGGCCTCAGAAGCTGTCTGACAGGTCTGGTTTGTCCCCTGTGTCTCTCTTGATAGAAAAGGGACATCAGCAACTTCGAGTACCTCATGCACTTGAACACGCTGGCCGGGAGGACCTACAATGACTACATGCAGTATCCGATGCTCCCCTGGGTGCTGGCTGACTACACCTCCGAGGTGAGCCTCCTTGCAGTGTCCCCGGCCACCCTGACACCCAGAGCACCCGTGGTCAGCATGCTCAGCCTCTGCCATGCCCACGCACCTTGGCAGCCTTTGGAGTTCAGCCAGGCGCCACCTCACTAGCGTAGGGTGACCTGATGGTCATACCTGAGCCGGGCTGGAGATGCTTCCTGGATCAGTGTGTACAGAACAGAGAAGACAGAGAGAGAGAGAGAGAGAGAGAGAGAGAGAGAGAGAGAGAGAGAGAGAGAGAGACCCTCTCGCCCAAAGCATGACTCTGGTGGCTTTCCCCGGCATCTCCAAGACAGGGACCCGAGTTTTCATCTCGCTTGGCCCCATCTCTGGGGATCCCCACAGGAAGAAGGTGACATGGCGTGAGTGTCTGTTCAGAGTTAGTCAGGGCGAGGAGCAGGGTCCCAGCCACCTGGTCTCTCATTGACAGAGGTTGGTTGGGACCAAGCGTGAGGACAGAGGACAACGGGTCCTTGTAGGCTGACCAGGCCAATCTTGCCCAGGGACATGTGAGTGGCGGTGCCCAGGGCTTGGGCTCGTCTGACCTCCCACTTCCACTGAAACCACGGGAGGCAGCAAAGTTTTCCTCCAGCCTTGCATGGCTTTTCAGAGGTCAGGCCTTTGCAGCATGAGGCTTGTGGACCCCAGCTTTCACCCCAGCGCTGGTAGGTGGTGGTTATCTTATGAGTCCTTCCTACTTAACTAATGCTCCTGTTTAAAATTTTGATTACTTACCAGGGTTTTAAAACTGAGAAATTTCTCTCAAAAATCTGGATCTCCACGCCTTGGCAAGTCCAGAGATCCGCTATCTGTGAGCCCTTCTGAGAGGCAAAACCAGCGAGCTGAGGGTGGCTCTGCAGCGTCTCTTCTGTCCCTCCCTGGGGTCTGTCGCTTTCTTCTGAGCTGGCCTGGCTTCTGCCGAGTGAGAGATGGTGGCAGCCCAGCCCGGGGAAAGCACTGTGACTAGTGTCACGGAGAAGGGAGGCTTGTAAAGAAGCCGTCTCTTCCTACAGAGAAATCTGCAAGACCCGGCAGACCGGGCCCCCCACTGATGCAAAGGACATCTCCACTGAAAGAAAGTGTGTCTGAGCACAGGTGGCCCCGAGCCTTCGGGTCTCACTGTGGACACCACCGCCTTCATTGCCAGAAATCTGCAGGAAACCGCAGAGTTCCCCTCTCTCTATCCCCTCAAAATAGATGATATCCTGTTTCATATAGTCAGTTGGATGCTAAGCAGGGAAGCTGAACTCCTGGAGTAAATTACTCCATGCCGGCAGAAGCCAAATGCCTGGCAGGCGCTGAGAATTGTTTTGAAAGTCTCCCTTTGGTCACCGGTGGCCGCATCTGCTTAGGGTCAACTTGGAACAGGTTTAGAGTGAACCCAATCTTCCCTGCCTTTCATTTCCATCTCTCCCCTATTAAGTCTTTGTGGATCACTGGCTCCAGGGCCATAAAACCCCACTGGCCAGCTAATCACCAGGGGGGGTCAGCCCAGATGACAATAAACCAATAAAACCAATAAAGGGAACCATAAAACTTAAAGAGCGTGGCTCCTGGGGCGGGGAGGGCAGAGGGAGTCACCGCAGCTGTACATCTGCCTTTTAGACGCTGAACTTGACCAATCCCAAGACTTTCCGGGATCTTTCCAAGCCCATGGGGGCTCAGACCAAGGAGAGGAAGCTGAAATTCATCCAGAGGTTTAAAGAGGTTGAAAAGATCGAAGGTGCGTAGCTCCCAGCTGGGCATCTCCTGGGCAGTGTGGTTCATCTAGAAGGACCGGGAATGGCACAGGCGGCCTCCTGGCCCATGCCACGCACGAGTGCACTTGATGGAGAACTTTCCAGCTCTGCGCTGAGCTCCTGGGGAACACACAGAGTAACCAACCCGGAAGAGCTGTTTTCTTAAAGAGCAGAAGTTCAGAGCTCGCCTCTGCATGCCCGAGTGAAGTCCGTCTCTGACCCCCAGGTCCATTCCCAGGTGATCCCCAGGGCCATCCTGGGTGACACGTAGCCTGCTAAGAGCTGGCAGTTCATAGCGAGGAGCAGGCAGAGGAGCAGAGCAGGTCTTCCATCGTGTGTCCTCGGGCCGGGCACAGGGCGGTCTGCATTCACATGTCCAGCGAGGACATGGATGCTGAGAGCTTAAGCTGGAGTGGCACTGGCCCCTGAACCCAGCACCCAGCCTTTGTCCATCGGCAGGTCACCTTTGAGGTGTTTGACACATGCCTGTGCCCCTGTATCTTCCTGCCTTGGGTCTCTTCTGTTATCCTACTTAATTCCCAACCTCCAGGGAGAGTGTGTGCTCTCACGCGTGGCCGGTGGCCTCAGCCACGTCCCTCTGTTGCAGGAGACATGACCGTCCAGTGCCACTACTACACCCACTACTCCTCCGCCATCATTGTCGCCTCCTACCTGGTCCGGATGCCGCCCTTCACTCAGGCCTTCTGTTCTCTGCAGGTGAGCTGCTGCCACTCTCCAAGAACACACGTGTGCATCTGGGTACTGCATACATGCACACTCACCGCACACTCACAGCTGTGTCACAGGCCAGGAGGGCTCACTGCTGGTGCTGGCTGCTGGGTTCTGGTCCATCCAGCCCAAGCCAGCTGTTCTTCATCAAGGATTCTCTTTTGGTTCATCTGCCCAACAGAATCTCATGAGAAAAAAAAACCCCAACTCTTAAAAAATGAATGAGAGAGAGAGATGAAAAAACTTAACATAAATAAATGTAGTAGAGACAGAAAGCAGGAAGCTTGGAGACCAGAGGGACAGGCAAAGATTAGAGAAATAAACTCGAGGAGAAACAGTAAGGCTGTGAGTCAGGCCAGCAGAATGCATACATCTGCAGAGTACCAGATGAAAGGCTCCAAGGACAAACACAATATTCGAAAACCAAAAGGAACCGCTCACTCAGGGCAGGAACTAGCTGCCAGACGTGCCCACCCACAAACCAGCAAATCCTGCTGCCAGCTTAGGGTTGTGAGGTTTTGCAAATAAAACTACAAGATAACTAGTTAAATTTGGACTGCAGATAAACAATGATTTTCAGATAAACAATGACTTATATTCAGAAATGATCTGTTGTTTATCTGGAATTTCAGCATAGCTGGGCCTCCTGAGCTTTGTTGTCCCTGACAACCCCTGAGGGAGCTGGAAGTGACCCAACCTACAGCCAAGTGGGTGGTGGTGTCTCAGACGGAGGCCTCTGGGGCAGAGTCACTTTGGGCAGCGTGGTGAGGGACCAGGAGAGTTTTGTTCTCTTTTAGTGTCTTGGCCATGATCACAGGGACTCTGTGTGCCTTCGGGGACTGGGACCCTAGAGGCACAGCCTATGGTGTGCAAGGCCTTGGGCAGCTCCAGAGCGACCATCTGGGTCTGCCTACTGCAAGCACGTGCACACAGGACCAGCTGGCCTTACAAGGTCCCAGAGAAGAAGGCCCATGGGCAACAGATCGCGGACACACCTAAGCCTCCTCTCAGAGATCTGTGCACAGCCCAGGAAGCGAGTTGGGTGAGCTCAGTAGCAAGATCCCTTGCTACAATCTCTCGGAGGAATCTGACCCTAAGAGATTAAGGGCCCCCCTGGGTTGGCCCAAAAGCTGGCTCCTGAGCCCTATACAGGACTGGATAGCAAGGTCACGATGCCCTCTCCAGTAAGAAGCAAATCAAATCCCTCCCATCTTCTGTACCTTGGCACAGGCATCTATCTCTTTGACTCCCTGACAGTGTGGCTCGTCTAGACATTGTATAACCCCCACTCCTTGGAAATTCACTCCAAAATAATAAGTATACTTCCCTTGAGCCTTTCTCCAGCAACAAGCATTTTAAGTAAGTTTGGTTTGGAGAATGAATGGTCCCAGGGCTCTCCCTCATGCCAGAATCCCATCCAGATGTTGCTCATTAATCCACAAGAAATGATGATCACTGTTCATGATGATAGTGATGAATTCCATCACTTTGCATCCGGGGAGTTGAAACACTTTAAACATTCAAGGCTCTGAATCTCAGAGTTTCCCTTCGTCCTTTTGAATGAAAGCATCAAAGCCAGAGGCCGCAGCTCTGCCTGTGGCTAAGGGCCCTTGCCTATCAGGAGCAGGCAGAAATTCAGGCAGCCTGGGTTGGGAGGTTTACATCCCAGCTGGGCCACGCAATAGATGCAAAATCTCAAGTTACTTTACCCCTGGAAATGAAGGTTAATTATGCACATCTCACTGGGCTGTTAAAAGAAATGGGGGGAAAGCCCCTGGTTCGGGTGATCAATCACTGTGACTTCTGTCTGTCCTGCAATCAGCCAACTCCACTCTGAGCTTGTTTAAGCCGGTCTCCTCTGGCCGAAGCTAGCTCAAGGCAGTCTGGATGGCGTCTAAGATTGCATGTGGCATGAGCCAGACTAAACAGGTGTGCCATGGACCCGCAAGGGCGTGTGGGTAATGGCCACTTTAAAGCCCACTGATCACTTGCATTTTTGGTAGCCGGTTTGGCTCATGGTAACCAGGCCAATCCCGCCTGAAATCGTCTGAAACAGAGAGGGGTGGTCCGAGCCAACTGCAGAGGCTTTCAACAGAGCCAAGCATCCTAGGCTTCGATGAGGTCTCTGATGTGACTCCTGGGCACAAGTCTGTCTTTGGCAGAGTGGCCCATTCAGGTTGGAGCCAACTGGTCCACCTCCGTGTGTGCCCTGGAATCTGTCCTTCCTTCCCATCTCGGAATGACTTCTCATGGCCAGCATTGGTCCAAGTGCAGAATAGCAGAAAATCCAGCCACTTCCAGCTTCTTCCTCAACAAAAGATGAGCTTTACCTGTTCTCAAGGAATCAGTACAGATCAGGGGAAATGTGCCCAACTCCTCTTTGGGATCCCTGGACTTCAGCAGCCCTGCTTAAGAATGTTCTGGAATCTTCTGGAAGTCAGGCTCTGCCCTCTATCTCCCTCCTCCCTCCCTGAGGGCAGTCCTGTTTCTTTTACCTGTGCTGGGACAAGGAAGGGACCTTCTCACACTCTCAACAGCAGAGGCTTGACATCCAGCCTGGTTAGGAGAATGAATGTATCTGCTTACAACCTACACAGTGTTCTTTAGCTCCTCTAGGGTGACTGACAATGTGGGACCCTCGGACCCTGAATGCTGACCGTGCCACCAGCATGACAGACAGGACACAGATACGTGTCAGCTCTGCACTCCGGCACAGTCCCTGTCTGCTAGGCTGGGGCAGGTCCCTGGTCCCCCACAGTGTCTTCTAGTTCTCATGAGTCTTGCCACCTGGTGCCGGAGCCTCTCCAAGGTTGTGCCACCAGGCAGCCAGATCCTGCTGGCCCTGCTCTGGCACCCGAAACTGTCCCAGCAAACATGTGGGCATCCTCACATCAGACCTAGCCGGGATGGGTCCGGAAGACAGCCACTGCCCATGAGGACACAGCAGTGGTGACGGCTGCTGCTGCTGGTTTTAATAAGGAATGCAAATAAAGCAGTGGGTGATAAGCCATGTCCCTGTGAAGTCAGCTGTTACCAGCAGCGGGCCGGGTCTTCCTCACCACCTGAGCTTAGCCGGCGGGCTGGTGTTAGACAGCTGCCAACCGCGGGAAGAGCCAGGCCCTCAGTGCTGGGGCCCCCAGGCTGTGCACCAGGGAGCTCCTGGGGGTGCAGGCAGGAGCTGGGTGCCCTGGTCAGTGCCCACCCCTGGCACCTGCCCACGCTGCTCCTAGCCTGGTCCCTGCTTCCTGACCCTTGGTGCGGGCCTGGGCCACTGGGCTGGAGTCAGGCTTGCCAGCCAGGCCCTGACAACAGCGAACAGACGTGGGTCACCAGGGCCCTTCAGGGTCCCCAACATAGTGTAATTGTGCACTCAGCCGGGGCATTAGGGAAGGCACATGCGATAGATGTCCAGCCATCTCAGGATAAACTCTTTCTAGAACTTTCTAAAGGGTAGTCCTGGCTAATTCAGCCTCAGTTTCCTTTCAGAGAGGGCCTAAACAGGGCAGGGGCGAGGTGCTCAGCCGTGCCGATTCCCCCACGCATGCCCGCTGTTCTTTTCTCCTTAGGAAAAGCCTCCTCCTGCAGGGAGCAGGGCTGGTGGCTTCCATCAGCGCAGACCCAGTCAGGTGCCTGATGGCTCCCTGAGTACATGCAGGCCGCAGCTCTGAGCTCTGGAGCAGGAGTCAGGCCCGCATTTCCCACAAGAGCTCCTGGACCAGCTCACTGATGCGCACCGTGATCACACATCAGCCCTTCCTTGGCTCTGCTCGGCCTCAGGGCCCCTCCCTTTTCCACGCCCACCCTAAGGCCTCCAGGCTCCTCGCCCTCCTGCCTCTGTCCCTGTCACTTCTGCTCCCTCTTCCCTGTCTTTTCCTCTCTTCTCCCTCCATCTGTCTCCTCATCCTTTCTTTCTGAGAGTTCCTGGTGGCCTTTTGCGCACACGTGAAATTCAGGGCCTGAACCAGGGAGGCTCTCGTCCCAGGCTAAGCAGGGAAAGGACACAGGGCCACAGCGCCTGGCACTACTCTCCACGTGCCTTGGCACCACACGAGTGTCTGTACAATGCACACACGTGTACAACACTGCACATGCATGTATATGTATGCACACACGGACATGGACATCTATAGCTACACACACATATGCTTATTCAGGTGCACACATTCACACATATGTGTACCCACAGGCACACATGTGTACACAGGTCATCACATTCATATACTCACCAGTACATGATACACTCTGCATTAGTTACTTCCTCATTGTGTCCGAGACACAATGCCCAACACCCACCCACCGACGAAGGAGAGGAGCCAGGAAAGGAGATATGCACTTCTGGGTCACATCCTTAGGGAGCCAGCCCTGATGGCACACTCACCTGCTGAATCTACCAGTGTGCGTAGCACCCCATGATTCAGCTGCCTTCCGAACGTGTGAGGTTTGGGGCCATTGTAAACCTAAGCCTTAGCACGTTCACATGCATACCCGTATGTACACACTATGCACATGCACAGACACGCATGCACACAGGCACACAGGAGATTTCACATCCAAAACAATCTTCTAAGGCTTGCAGAGGAGGGCGTAGGTGGATGGGGATGAAGAGACTCTTGTTCACCTGCGCATAGTTAAGTGGGCCCGCCAGCCCCTGCCCACAGCTACCTGGTTCTGGTGCCAGGCTTCCTCTGTCAGGGCACACGGCCTCTTCAATGGGTCTCTGGTAGCTTAGGTCAGCTGCCATGTCCACAGGTCCTGTAGATGATTGTCTGCAGAGGATACTTTAAAATTCTTAGTAAGAATATCTAAGGCAGGCATGGCTGTCAGCCTGCTCATGAAGCCGACCCGTTATCCAGATGTGGATTATGTGGGTTACGTGGGGCTAATCCTAGAAACAAGGAAGGTCGGGCTTCAGCACACACTGTGAAATACCCGTGCATTCGGTGTGCGGGAGCGCATCCGATCTCCGAGTTTCCTATGAAGGTGGGTCAGGAATCGAATGTTTTCCCCCAACACACCTCCCCTGCCGTGGTGGAGAGGATTGAGGACACAGTGACCAAAGCGTTTAACCAGGGGCTGTGGTGCACACAGTCTCGTGTCCCCGAGGGCCAGGGCCCTCTTTTGATTCTTCTCTCCAGTGTTGTACACCTCGAGGTGAGGAAGGATGCACGGTTGCACTGCTTCAGGATCCCACACTGCATTTCTGGCTGCTTTACTAGTGATGTCTAAGGGAGCTCCAAGCCAGACGCTCCTGTGGTGCGCCGCGGGGTCTCTAGCTGTGGCCTGGCTCCTGCATCTTCTGGCTGGAGTGTTGCATGGGCAATCTTTGGCCAACACAAAGTCGGTCCTGTGTGGATAATCTTGACCTTGCTATTATTTTTAACAGTCCACTTGGATACACTAGAATTCATTGTATTTTATATTCAATATCGGCAGAATAAAAGCAGGAGCAGATCTTCCTTTGTATTTTTCTTTTGACTTTGGTCTTTTCTTATGTAGTACTCTGTAAACCTGAATCGTGCATCTTTCTGTCCCTCTTTCCCTCCATCCCCTCCTTTTTTCCGTCCTTCCTTCCTTCCTTTCCTGAGAATCAAGTCCTAGCTAGAACTCCAGCCAGCAGCCACCGGAGTTTATGTCAGCCTTAGGAGGAACAAAGCAACTCCATTTCTTTTTCTAGGGAATTTGGTGTTTTCTTTTGTATTGCAGAAGTGAGAAAAACCATTAATTTTGAAACAAATGTATGCAAATACATTTATTAATATAGAAAATAGGAAAATCAGTTATTGCTTCCTTTATAAATAATACAGGCTTAAGTTTTAAAGATATTACTTTTGCTAAAATGCATTAGACAGCTGTGAAAAAAATAACATTTTTCTTTGTGGTAATATCTTTAACCAGATTTGTAGCGCTAACAATATTTCCTATGTATATATTATTTTTATTTAATCCAGGTAATCTTTTTATTACCAAATCATATTGTTTCTCAGGAGATTACCATCAGCGCTCATAAACGCTGCAGAAGGAAAAAATGGGGCCCAGGAAGGCATCAATCTCCCGCGATGTGCAGCTCGGGCTGCAGATTAAACACCCAGTGCTCTTAATACATTTCAGTGAGTGACTCATTAGGTGCAGATTTATTTAGATCCCTCTCGTTTTATTTCCATTTCAATTTAAATTTGTCAGTGGACCTCAGCTCCTAATTTCAGCCAAGAGCAGGGTGACCTCGGGGAGCAGCCGCGGCTTTCTGCTGTCTCGGGCTGTGCTGGGCTGAGATTCCACGCATAAGTGAGTAACTGAGTGCCCCTGGCCCCTGTGGAGAATGGGCCATGGGTCCCACTGGGTCCTCAACTCTGACCCAGATTGACCAGCCAGGCCGTGCCCCCCAGCATGCCTGGTGCTGCCTGCCCACCTTTGAGAAAAGTCCAAGTGCCCTTTGGCTCATACATAGTAGATCATTTGTACCCAGTCCTGGGATTTAGCTCGGAAACAGGGTCAGGGCAAAGCATGCCCTTTAGAGTGGCATCATAGGTCTGAGTCAGGATCCCTGCTCTGTGTTTAGCCTTGGAAAGATCAGTACCCTTTTTCTGGGCTGCATGATGGAAATGCCAACCCCTTCCTAACGTACCTGCTGCGAGGATTAGGAGGGGTCACTTTAAGCACTGGCACCAAACAGGACAGGTGCACAAGACGAGGCTGTTGCCCTGTCTGAGCTGCGGTCACCTGCAGCCGTGATGGGTGCGTCCTGATGGAATGACAGCTCCAGGCCTCTGAGAGGGAATGGAGAGGACGGGGCTCATATCTGCGCTCATCTCTGAGCTTAAGTGGATCCAAGGCTACGTTTCCTGAAGTTTCTCTGCTCTGGCATCTTCATCTGTACCCCGAGGCCCTGGCTTGGGGCCTCAATCTGCATTCTCCTGACACCCAAGACCACTGCTGAGTAGGGGTGATCCTCTTGACAACTACAGGCTGGTGTGGCAGTTCAGGCGAGAGGACCAGGCATTCCAGGGAGGACTGCCCTCAGTGTCACCGGGTCCACTCCACCTGCCAGGCTCAGATGGCATCCAATCACCCGCAGCTGATAGCCTTGAGCGTAGGTGGCCTTGGGTGCTGTGGGGCCAGGTCCTTTGTGTGCCCGCCTCCTGCCTGAGTGCAGGTGACTTCTAGCTCCTCCCTCATGTCAAAAGCACAGCTATTTGTTTTGTTTTGTTTTGTAGTTCTGTATTGCGTGTACCCTTACGCCACTTTGGTTTGTTTTGTGTTTTTCTCTTTTTCCTCTTAAAAAAAAAAAAAAAAAAAAGCACAGCTACTGAGCTCTTAGGACGCGCCACCTGCTGTCACAGGCTTCCAGGCTCATCTATGTTGGGATTCTCCAGGGGACCCCACTGATCTCCACAGAGCATGGCTGGCTATGTCTCTGTGCTGTCTCTGGGCTCCTTGTTTCGTGTCTGTGACCCTCGACCCTGAGCCTTTCCAGAAGCGAAGCTGAGTGGCCATCACCTTCAATACCTTACACCAGAGGCTTGAGTAGAAGTGTCCCCAGCAGCCTCATGAGTAGTCAGCAGAATGGCTGTGGTTTTATCTCTAACCTGAACTCGGGTTTCCACAGAGAGGACACAGGACACCCTGAGTCCCTTACAGAGGGCCCTGGCCCTGGACAGTAGTGGGTGGGTGCCCATGCGTGGACAGAGAAGAGTCCAGCGTCGCAAGCTGTGCCCCTGCGGCAGAATGGAGGAAGGATGCCCGGTGTGCGGCATGTGAAGTCCTGAGGTTGAGCCTGCGTCCATTTCCCACAGGGAGGAAGCTTTGATGTGGCCGACCGGATGTTCCACAGTGTGAGGGGCGCATGGGAGTCGGCGTCCAAGGAGAACATGAGCGACGTCCGTGAGCTGACCCCTGAGTTTTTCTACCTGCCCGAGTTCCTCACCAACTGCAATGCTATGGAGCTCGGTGAGTGGGGCCCAGGGAGGCAGCCAGGGTGAGGCCTGGCACCGGGCCTGGCTCTTCCCACAGCTCCTTGCTCATTAACCTGGTATTGATGTCTTTGTGGGCGACTCAACCAGCAGCCCATCAGCAGGTCCAGCACTCGGGGTGTGAAGCTCCCACTGCGGGCAGCAGCCTTGTGTGCCAGGCAGATACCAAGCCAGGATGCAAGCCCCAGCTGTGACCTGGGAAGGCCTTGCTAGCAACCTGGGTCTGCCCTGCCACCTGTGAGCTTGGCCAAAGCCCTGTCTGTTCCTGCCATGTTCCACAAGTGGACAGACACCTTTGTCCTGCAGCCCAGGATGAAGCAGGCCATTTCCTGCTCAGGGCGATGGGTATCTTGGTATCTGCCCTATCCAGGGTAACCCCAGTGTGAGAGCTCCAAGGGTAGCCCTCAGGGTCCTATGTGCAGGCGGTTTGCCAAGAGCAGGGTGCGGGTGAGCTGTCCATCTGGAGCAGGACAGCTGTGAGCAGTGCCCAGCCAGGACTCACCAGCTCTGCCCTTAGGATTAGCTCTAGGTACACCTCAGGCCCAATGTACTGGACCTGGGGGTCTCCATCATCCCCCACACAGCACAGGCAGGGTGTCCAGGAGCACAGGAGAGATTAGCCCCCCAGAACCTCCCCTGCAGAGGTTTTCTGCCATGCATGCTCCCCCAAATTCCTATGGGGCATTTTCAGCCACCCATCCCTGACCTGCACCCAGTGAGCTGATCCTTGGAATCCAGGGCTTGTGGACACACGGCCAGGAGCCTCAGCTCATGCGCAGAGGGCCAAGGAGAGGAATTCAAAGGAGGGTTAGAGCCACATGGAAAGGGCCAGCACTGGGTAAATCAGGCGAAGTCAGGAGTGACAGGGGCCTGGGGTGGACACTAGGCTGGCCATTTCTGTCCAGTTGGTGAGTGGCTTTTAGTGGTATGGCGGGCACTGCTGCAGAGTGGACAGCACATTCCAGGGATGGAGAACCCAGGATGGGGAAGGCAGGTGTCCTCCAGCAGTCAGGAGAGCATGTGCCCTGGAGCACTGTGGATCGGATGGGTCTCCCGACCAACTATGTAGAGGATGGTGCCATTTGGGCGGCAGGCAGGAAGGGGGAAGCCAGACTATGAAGAGAAACATGGGGGGCACCGGTGTCTCCACGCGATGCAGGCAGGAAGTGGCTGGAGAGCAGCTGTGAGGGGCCTGGGTTGTTCTGGCCCCCAAGAAGGACAGAGGAGGGGACCGACATACTGAGGCTGAGTGACCAGAAGGGCCAGGACAGGAGAGCAGGGGATTTGATTCTGGTTGTGTCTTGAGTAGTATCGCAGGCGGGCCCACATGGCATCTGCCGCAGGCCCGATGCTCCAGGCTCTTTCTGTGTATCTTCTCTTGTCACCCTTGTGCCACCCCTCCACGGCACCCCTCTTTGTTCCCTTGGGTCTTACGTAGACGTGAATCCCGAGGAAGTTACCACTTGCTCAAGGTTCGGAGCTGATGCGGAGGACAACAGCCTGGCTGGGAACCAGCCCCCTCTTCCTGCTGTCCCGGGCACCTCCTTCGAGAAGCCCCACTGCCCTCCTTAAAGTTGGGGAGAACGTGCTTCGGAATGACAGCATGGAGGTGCTGGGAGGCCTGTGCTCGCGGTTGGCTGCTGGGTTCGTGCCCTCTGCTGCTGGCCCGTTCTGCACTAGAAGTCCTAGGCCTTATACAGCAGGGTTGGGAAGTGTGAACCATGATGATCTGAAACTGTGCTGTTCCATGTGACTTGGAGCTCTCACACTGGGCTGCCTGGAAATCCAGGGAACACAGGCTTGTAAGTCCCTAGGAGCCTAAGGGACTGCAAGGGACCAAGCAGGCAGTCAGGCAGGCACCAGGGTGCTGTGAGCTCCAGCAGGGAGGCAGAAGCAAGTTGCACTCCTGGGGAGAGCAGCTCGACCCTGTCCTGGTGACTTGGTGCCCCTTGCTCTCCTGTACCCCCAGGTTGCATGCAGGATGGGACAGTGCTGGGCGATGTTCAGCTCCCTCCCTGGGCAGATGGGGACCCGAGGAAGTTCATCAGCCTGCACAGACAGGTGAGTCCCACCCCGGGGTGTGTCCTGCCTGTGGACCTCAGTGCCCTTTCAGGCTCCCTGGTGGCTTTCTGTCCCTGGGAGAGGGAAGAGTCCTGAGGCTGTGTGGGAGACCCCCCCACTTTGACGCTGTGCCAGGGGCATCAGTGCAGGAAGTGAGCACTGAGCCTCTGGGATGCCTGGGAGGGCATATCTGTGTGCTGGGCAAGCCCAGGAGGCAGGGCCAGCCCTGGGGTCACACCTCGGCCGCAAGGCTTGGAGATGGGAAGGAAGCAGAGGTCATCCACACCCTGGGGAGGCCGTGGCCTGTAATGCAGAAAGACTGATGTGAGTGGACACCGGAGGACACTGGGGACCCTTGCCTGGGGTCCCAGACCTGCCTGGGTGACAGGAGAAGGTGAAGAGGTGCTTGGCATCCTTGGTCATCCTGGCGACAGGACCCAAGGCCTCAGCAAGCTCTGCCGCACGCTCCCAGAAGCAGAGCTCCATGCCTGGAACCCACTGGCCAGAGCAGAAGGTTCAGCCTCCCTGGAAAGAGCCTGGTGCTTTCTGCCAAAGTGGAAGTTGCCTCTGCCAGGGTCCTGCACGTGCCCTGTGGGTGTTCACCCAAGAGGAGGGAAAACATGACCCCCTAAACCCTCGGGCACCAGCGTTCACCGCTGTTACTCAGACCAGTCAGTAATGAAAAGGAGCCCAAAGGCCCACCAAACAATAACACATCCGCACGGTGGGACTGGACAGAGCGTTGGAAGGAGCGGTTGGCTGATAACAGAGTGGCGTGGAAGTTCAAAGCATCTAGCAGAGTGTAGGAAGCCCAGGCGGGAAGCGACCTACTGTGTGATTCCCTTTGTGTGACATGTACAGGTGAAGCTCTTGGCACTGCGGTCAGCAGCAGAATGGCCGGAAGCAGTTTAAGGCCCCCGGGAGCGGATGGAAATGTCCTGTCTCTCGCTATGGCCGCATAGCCGCATGAGACCTGCTAATTGCAGAATTGTGCAGCGTTTTACTGTGTGTAAATTAGACTGCAGCGTAGCCTGGAGCAGGCCTGAGCTGTGACTGCAAACTTGAGCCTTCCCTATCAGCAAGGAGGAGCACTTTCCCGGGCATATCGTTGCCCTCCCCACAGCCCCCGGTACGGGATGCTCTGGCCGGAGAGGCCCTTGACAGGGGCAGCAGCTGCCCTGAGATTCAGTACCGTGGTCCCCGGAGCCATGGGCAGAAGCTGAAGCTGGATGAAGAGGTGGCTGAGGACGGAAGAAAGCTGCCAGTTGTCAGGCGGAGGGGCAAAGGGTAGTGGAGGTGCTGACCAGGCGGAGGCAGTGTCTGAAGAAATCAACAGCCAGCAAAAGAGAAGCGGTTTTTGCTAACCAGAGGGTTTGATGAGTGCTTTGGAAGGTGGGGCAGCTATGGATGCTGACACGGGAGAGGGACTGTCCACAGGAGTGCAAGAAGAGTCCTCGGAGAAAGGGAGCCTAAGGGACTGAGTGTCCAGAGGTGGCGGTCATGGAGGACAGGAGAAGGCAGGGCTGGAGGAGAAGGGAGGTGTGGCAGGGTGACCTTGGCTGGGTGAGAACAGAGGCCTGGGGAGGGTGGAGCTGTGCCCAGAAAGCACAGGGAGAATGTGTTTTGCTCTTTACAGGAGGTTGCAGAAGCAGTCAGAGGAGAGAGCTGTGCACTCCAGGCTCTGTCCAGCAAGTGGCTGCCAAGGGGCTTGCTGAAGGGCATGAGAACCAGGCTTAGGTGGGAGAGCAGGGGGACCCCTCCCAACCAGCCTGAGGGGATGGGATTGAGTTGGTTGTGAAGACACAGGAAAGGGACCTGCAGGGGTCAGACATCAGGCTTGGGACTTTCCCTGGGTGATATGGCACTGGCCGGTGACCAAATGGAACGGCCACTTTGGCCACAGACCTCGGAGGTGCTACCTAGGTAGAGGTGGCCAGGTTTCCTGTCCCAGGCATGGAGCTGTGTGTCCTCCCTGAGCACCACTGAGGGGAGCAGACAGGGCTCCGGGATGCCTTTGGTCCTGTGGATGCAGCCCTGGAGGGTGCATCTCTCGGTGACGTCCAAATCCTGGGCTATGTTTCCTCTTGCTCCAATAAGAATGTGTCCAGCTCAGGTCCCCTAATCCAGGCTGGCACTGCCCATGTAGACTATGCCCACGAGAGACCCAGTGTGCCCTTCCTTCCGTTTCCTGTTGGGTGTCACCTTTGGTTAGCAGTGGGTGCTGCTGGCTTTCCCGTGGGAGCTGTGGTTTTGATCTTGGTGAAGTTTCATTGCAACTGAGAAGCTGTGAGCTCTGAGCTAGACCTGGTGGCCGAGACTGGACTATCTCCCATCAGGCACAGCAAGCCTGCACAGTCCAGTGCTCTTTGAGTATGAGTGTAACTTGTTTTGTGCCAGCTGTGTCCCTGGCTGTGCAGGGGTGCTACACAGGTGAAGGAAGCTACAGTCCCAGGGACCGAGGGTGCTTCAGAGGGAGACTCAGTGCTTCCCCTGGCCGGGGCGACTCAACAAGACCCTCCCACCACCCCAGTGTCGACGGCTTCTGGTGACCTGTGTCAGTGAGACTTGCTCAGCAGGACCAGTGTCCATAGGGGCACGAAAGTTGGAAGCTGGGGCGGAGAGATTGTTCCTGCCGGCAAGAGGACATGGTGAAACCCAGGCCACTCCTAGCACCAAGCGGGTACGTGGTGCTATCACACACTGCGTGGATCTCAGCTGTGTTCTCATGTTCACCTTGAAACAGCCAGTCCCAGGTGAGGAAGCCGAGGGTTGGAAATGTTAAGAAACATGCGACTGGTGACCTCAGCTCTCGACCATTCCGGAGTGTGCTCTGTGACATCTGCGACTGTGTCTCAATCTCCTGATGTTCACTGGCAGAACTGGGCTGCTGACCGCTGCATCAGAGCTCAGCAGGACCCAGGTCTCCTCCATGTCAGCGTCACCCCTGGAGCTGCCTGTGTGGACCTTCTGAGAAGCACAGCTGTTGTAGGAAGTGGACGAGCTGGGGTGCTGGGAGCAGTTAAATCCACTGACCATTTGGCAGATACAGGACTCGGGTGACCCCAGGCGGTTACCCCTCTGCCAGCTTGCTGCTAGGCAACCTTAGAGGCCATGAGTCACCTTTCCTGCCTGTGTGACACAGGTGTGCCATGCAGAGCGTGCACGGCCCCCTTGGCGGCCTGGGTTTTCACACACGCTGGGCTTTCATTCCAGGCTCTGGAGAGCGACTTCGTCAGCGCCCACCTCCACCACTGGATAGACCTCATCTTTGGGTACAAGCAGCAGGGGCCAGCCGCCGTGGAGGCAGTTAACACCTTCCACCCCTACTTCTACGGTGACAGGGTGAATCTCAGCAGCATCACTGACCCCCTGATCAAGAGCACCATCCTGGGGTTTGTCAGCAACTTTGGCCAGGTGCCCAAACAGGTAAGGCAGGCCGAGTCCTTGACTTGCTTCTCGGGAGAGCGCGTGCAGCATGGGCTTGTGGGAGCCAGAGGAGCAAGGGCATTCTGTCCTGGGGGAGGGAGGCCTGGAGGCACAGAACTGTCCTGTCCATCTCCCTGGGTCTCCAGTGTCAGGGCTTAGCCTCAGTTATCTGCTGGGGGTTATGAAGGTGATGATGGCAGGGAAGGCTGCATCCTCTGTGTCCTATGTGATGGACACCGCGATAAATCCATCTGGCTGGATTCTGTATCTAAATACCCGCCCTCCAAATTGTCATTCTCGGTGAGTTAAGACACACTGAGTGCTTGAAAGTGCGTGAAATCGGACTGGATCATCAATAAGTATCAGTTATTGGGATGATGGCATCTTTCGAACCTCCCACATGCTCCGGGCATAGGAGGGGCTGCATAGGAGGGGCTGCAGAAGTGGGATCAGCATGGACCCCGGGCAGCAGAAGAGCAGAGCTCTGGTCAATGGGGAGGTGGTTCCAAGATATGTGTCATATTGCCACTGGCCTGGGGACATCTTCCTCCCAATGAGATTACAGCTCTCGCCTGGGTCCTGGGCCCTGCTGGCTCTGGTTCCCATGGGCACAGTCACTCAGTACCAAGGGGCTGTGCATAGCCCGTGCTGCCATACTTGTGAGATCTCTGCCAGGGAGAGAGGGGCTTATTTAACCACCCCAGCCCCATGGATTCCCAAACTGTGGCTGTGTGTCTCCACAGCATCCTCTCTATCTGGCCGTACATGGCCTGGGGGTTTGCTCAGCCCCTGGTTAGGGACACAGGAGAAAAGCTGGGAGTGACTTAGAGGTCAGGGGTGCATCTGGTGTGGGTTTGCAGGGAGCTTTGCAAACAGGCCAGCATCTCAAGGAAGAGCATGGTAGCCTGATAGCTGTGTTTCTTGGATTTAAATATGCTTGCTAATATGAATAAAGCAGTAAAACAATTTAAAGTAATAGCCCACCACCCAGCAGGTCTGGTTTTATATTACACAGCCTCCTTCCATAAGCACAGATCTTTTTCTGTCACTGTGATTAAGGAATGCACACTTTAAATTGACTTTATGATATAGGTCTGTGTCCCATATCCAAAATACCCAGGATCTGAAGCTTTTCCTATTTCAAGTTTTTTTTTTTGAATTTGGAATATTTACATGGACCTTGCTGGTTCAGCATCCTTCCTCTCCAGTCCTGAGCTTTAAAGTGCTCCCGAAATCTTTCTCAGGGGATGTCAGTGTACAGGAACCCGGAGCCTTCCGAGTATTTCAGATGATGGGTTTCTGGATCAAGGGTGGCCAAGCTGTGTGAATGCTTACCCTGCTGCTCAGCATGACCACTGTTTCCAAGCAGCCATCAGATTGAGAGTTTCACACTGTCCTGTCTGAGCACAGGATCACAGCGCTTCCGGGCCACTCACTGTCCCACCCAAGGGCAGCGACACTTACACTGTCGTGGGGACCTGAGACTCAGCCTGTGGTCCCATGGGTGTTTTGTGAGGAAGAAAGTGCTCCTAGATGTTCACTACCATTTCTGTCTGAATCTAACACAGCCCAGTTCCGGATAGGTCAGCAGTTGATCAAGATCTGTAACTGAGAACAGCTGAGGTCGTGCTGAGACCTTGCACTTGAACCTGACCCCTGACTCTACCCAGTTCCCAGCTTGGTTCCTTCCACAGGGTCCCCAGCAGCTGCTTCCGAGTGGGAATAGAGGAGCCAGCGGGGAGGGCAGGTCAGACCAGAGCTGGGCCAGCAGGAGGGACTGAGCCAGGCCATGCAGCCTCACACCTGATGTGTGCCCAGCCGTGCAGAGATTTGGCCTTGGCTCTAGTTTGAGGGGAGAGATCTGGGGGAAATGAGAACAAGGCCATTGATGGGCTCCACCTGCTTGGGAACATTTGCACGGATGCAGTTGAAGAGCTCCATGCTGACACCTGGATGGATGAGCTTTTGCGTGGCTTGAAAGGAGAGAAGAAAACCAGAAGTTGCTCAAGTGCACGAAGGGTGCCCAGGATCTAGGCAGGGCAGGGACCCCAGCATACAGAAGGCGGCTCTCAGGGACTAGGCTTATTCTCTGGCTAGGTGGTGGGGGAGTGGGCCATTGGCAGGGGTAGCTGTCCTGGGCCCCAGAACTGTCATCAGCTTCGTTCCAGCTCTGTCCAGGGAAGCCTGGGGCAGTACCCAGGACAGGGCACCTGATGCCCATGTGCTGTGTGCACCTCTCCAGCTCTTTACCAAGCCCCACCCGGCCAGGAGCGCCACGGGGAAACCTCCATCCGGGAGGGACACGGCCACACCTGCCAGCCTGCCCAGCCACCCACAACCCTTCCTGCACAACCTGCAGTCACTGAAGCCCACCCAGGTCACTGTCAAAGGTGAGTGTCTGGCCCGTGCAGCTCCTCTGACGGTTCCAGGATGCGAACCAGCCAGGTGCTGGGCTCCGGCTTCAGATAAAAGTGTCTCCAAACACATCGGGCAGCTGGAAGCCTCTGCTCTGGAGGTGGCTGGGTGCTCTCAGTCAGATGGCTGTATGTCTGTCTGTCTGCCTCAAATACTCACATCCCACCCTACTATGTGCACACACTTACAAACCATGTTCCAGCAGCTTGGTGCAATGGTGCATGCCTGTAATCTCAGCATTCTGGGAGTCTGAGGCAGGCGGATTGCAAATTCAAATTGCTCCACCCTGAGCAATTTAAGGACTTAGCAAGACTCCATCTCGAAATAAAAAATTAAAAGGAGTTGAGGTTATAGCTCAAGTCCCAGTATAAAGGCACTGGGTTTAATCCCCAAGACTATGAAAAAAATCCACATGTTATCCTATCCTCTTCCCTGTCTGTCTCTGTCTCTGTCTCTGTCTCTGTCTCTGTCTCTGTCACACACACACACACACACACACACACACACACACACACACACACAGCCTTCCTTCCAAAGCTAGACAGAAGTCCCAAGTGTCCTGAGGTAAGGGTGCAACCTCTGCCCCTTGGGCACTGCTGCTGCTCGTACCCACATGGGCCTGCAGCCCGTGGTTGACAGCGTGTGCCTGGGCAGAAGGCAATGGGGAGTCCCAGCCTAACTGCCTTCCAACTGTGGTGGTGGAGGATCAAGAAAAGCGAGTTCTCCAGTCTCCCCTGCGCTGGCAGTGGCAGCACCAGGGGAAGGAAGGCAGCGTGAAGAGTGGGGGAGCAGCCTCAGTGTCCTCTGATAGAGGTGCACACCGAGGGGCCCGTTACCTCCACTCCACAGGGGGGGCCAGGGCAGCAGGGTTGGAGCAATGTGCCCAGGATAAGCAAGTTGGGAGCAGACTGTTGAGCAGCAGATCCTAGCTCTGGGCCATCCTTGGGCTGGGCCAGGGGCTTCTTGTTGGATCAGAGTTGTGTCACCAGCCTGGGGCTCCTCCCGGGAAGGGCAGGGAGGACAGAATCCCCCGTATTATCTTGTGTTATCTGCCTCTCCAGGCAGCTGGGCTCTTCTCCTGTGTACTGGTCAGCTTTCCCAGCATTGAGACAAAATACCTGACACCCACAATTTAAAGCAGGAGAGGTTTAATGTGGCTTATGGCTTCAGAGGGTTCAATCCACGGTCATGCAGCTCCAAGGCGGAAACATGGTGGACGGTGTAGGAAGCAGGGAGCAGGGGACAGAGATGGTCCCAAAGGTCACACCCTGTGACTACTCCTCCTAGTCAGGTCCTCCCTCCTAAAAACACACCTGAGCCATGAGCTGGGTGATGGGTTCACCCATGGATGAGGCTGGCACCCCCACAGTCAGTTACCTCTCCAGGTGTCTCCAAATGCAGTCAAGCTGAGGGTCACCTGTACCTTTGCTTACAAGGCTTTGGTCAGGGGGCACCCAAGGAGAGGCCTTAGTTTGTGGCATTGGCTCCTCCTCAGCTGCAGTCGGCCTCAGAGTTCCCCCATACTGACTGGGGGGCAGATATGTTCCTTTTCTCTCTAGGGTCGGAGTCTCCCAAGGGGGCCATTGGTCACATCATCGCCACCGAGAAGAACATCCTGGCGGTAGAGAAGAACAAGGTGCTGCTGCCTCCCGCCTGGAGCAGGATTTTCAGCTGGGGCTTTGACGACTTCAGCTGCTGCCTGGGGACCTATGGCTCCGACAAGGTGAGAAGCCACAGCCTCCCTCCTGCTGACCGCAGGGGTTGGGGGACAAGGTTGTGTCCCTGCCTAGGAGACAGAGACTCCTGGGGGCCCTCAAAGACCCTCTCTGATCAAGACCTTACCCCCTGCCTCACGGCATGGGGCTTGCAGCCTGGCTGTGCACAGGGCCACCTCCAGAGGGGGTCCGGCCAGCCGTGTGGCTACCTGGAGCTCATGTGGACGCTCACGCCATCTCTGTGGAAAGTCAGGGACTTCTGCTGTCCTGGGCAGTGTGTGGGCTTAGAATTGTGCTGATAAGATTCAGCTGCCCCAGTGTGGGCACTGAACCGCAGCTCTGGGCTCTTTGTCTCTGCCTTGTCCCCAGACACCACCCGTCACATCAAATGGATTCCTGACCCTCCGCACTCCCGCCCCCAGCCTGGCTTTCCAGCTGAGTCGATGTGGCTATCTCCCTACAGTACCCCTCCTGAACTCTGTCCCCCCTACCCTGGGCTGCGCTGCTGCCCCTGGTGCTCATGGGATTTCCACACCCTGGGTTACTGTTGTGTGTCTCCCACCAATGAGGACGAAGCTGCCCCTCCAGAGTGGCCTGGATTTGTTACCTGGGCCTGAACGCAGGTCCCAAGGCACCCAGCCTCACCAGTGTCCCCATCGCTCTGTCCTGGTTTCCTGGGCTCTGCTGGCCCTGCTCCAGCGCCTGTCCCTTCTGCACAGGTCCTGATGACCTTCGAGAATCTGGCTGACTGGGGCCATTGTCTGTGTGCCGTGTGTCCAGCGCCCACAGTGATTGTCACTTCTGGGGTCAACGCCGTAGTGTGTGTGTGGGAGCTCAGTGTCGTCAAAGGCCGCCCGAGAGGTCTGCATCTCCAGCAGGTGGGTGATCCAGCAGGGGACCCTGCAGGTGTGGACACTGAGCAGGTGCAGGACCCCCAGCCAGTCTGTGCCCTCGGCAGGTGCAGTGCCTAGAGCAGGTGTGTCCCCTTGGCCCTGGATGTGGATGGTGCTGATCACATCTGGCTTCCTGCTCCATGAGGGTCCCGACTTCCTCAGGAGCAAGGAGCACAGTGGGGACCAGCATGGCCTCATCTGTCACTCTAGGGAGGTCCACAGCCCAGTGTGAGTTGCAGCAAGGCGATTTCTCCTTACATGAGCAAACTGGGGCTCAAGGTGGCCGAGGCCCCCTTGGGTCTGGGCTCTCTCTTTGTCGGTCCCACAGCCTCTCCGTGTGTGAACTTGCCTCTGACACCCTTGGGGACACTTCCTGCATAGAGCACGAGTCATATTCATGTCAGAGTTTCACTCTGGAGAGCCCCAAAGTAGCAAAAACCAGAACAGGTCCTGCGACATTCACCCTGCCCAGTCCCCCAAACTACCCATGCTTCCTGATGAGGGATGACACTGGGTTTTTCTGGGTGACTCTGAAGTCACCCTGGAGCCTGTGTTGTCCCCTGCTGCCCCACCAGGCACAGGTGGTGAGAAAGAAACAGGAATCAAAGGTCACTGCTGATGCCATTGTGAGTCATCTGGGGACAGTGAGCAGGTCCACCCTGACCTGGTGCTGGCCTTGGGCACAGCAGGTGACCACCCCACGGCTACACCGAGGCCCCACTTAGCACCATAAGATGCACCATAAAAGCCCTGGGATTGACGTGGAAAGAACACAGTTTATCATCCTCTTCTGGCTCCAAATCAAGAGAAACAAGTATTGGGAAACCCATATGCTCATATTTTCTAGGCAAAGTTTACACTTTCTCCAGTAAAGGCTGATGTGGACTTGGGGAGCCCCCAAATCACTGGTTGCTCAGTGACCAGGGTCCACTCCTGAGCTACAGACAGAGAAGCATGTCAGGATGAAGTATTTTCATGAACAGCCTTAAAAGTGGTTTCTCTTTCAAGACATTACAGCATGCAAAAGAAATTTCTAATTCACCTTGAAGACAGTGCTCTACAATTCCTATGGAAAACTTTTTGCTTTTGCTCACCCCCCCATATACATATTTATACCTCTCCGACCCTTGTGTAAATATTTTGATTTCATTTTCTCCCCGCCTATCAAATTATTTTCACATTTCCACAGCTGCTATAATTTACATTTCAATTGTTCCAGATTATTACATTTTTCATAAAATTACATTTCTATTGTTTTGTTATGTCAGTGCACCATGGTTTAATAAACCATTTCTTCCAAAACTAGACAATTAAGTTATTTCCAAGTTTTAGCTCTTTTCAACAGGGCTGCGGGCTCACCGTGAGCTGATGTCCTTGTGATAAGTTTTAAGGAGTACAGTGGCTGGGTAGTGACATGAGGTTTTCCAGGACGGTCCCGCAGCTTTCTGGTGCCACCGACTATTCATTAAGAGAGCCCATTTCTGCACAGCACAACCCACAAGGGGCGTTATTTGCAGAAGTCCGTGTGCTCTTTTCTTTTGGCTGCTTTAGTGAGGTATATGATGATACACTGAAGTCCCTTTAGTTGGCCTAGTGAGAAGTATTATTCTGGAAATACAGAGAAGCCCCTTGGTTTAAATTTGCTGCACATTGCCTTGATTTCTTCTGCCCGTCCAGGCCCTGGGTGCTGGGCACCTCCTGATGCCCATGTCTCCAGCCTTGGGACCCTAGGTGGGCAGTGCGCTGCCTTGGGCCCTGGAACACATGGGCTGACTTGGTCAGCACTGGGCTCTGAGCTGCTGTCTGAATCCCAGCCTTCCACCCAGTCCCTGTCCCCATCCTTGTCCCCTGGGGTCAGGGCTGTAGTGCATTCCGGGAAGAGGATCAGGAAGCTCCTGCTGAGCCCCGCCCTCCGCTGCTCAGCTAGGCAGTTTCCATGCTCCTAGGATGCCCTGCGCCTCGGCTATGGGCCATGTCCAGAAACCTCCTGTGGCCATCTGATTGGTGTCGTGTTAGGATCCACTGAGGGAAACTGGGAGCCTGCGGTGGGACTGTTAATTGCTGTAACCTGGCAAAGTGATAGCTTGGAAAAATGGTGCTCGGCCTCACTGACCAAGTGAGTGAGCCAGGGTCTCTGCCTGAGGGGCAGAACTCCCCGCAAAAGCCTGGCCGGGGTGCATGGAGCATACCTGGTGCCCAGGGGTTGATGGGCTTGGCGAGCACAGGGGTCCTCAGGCAGGCTTTCTTGCCTCTCTGGGGTACCTGGAATGGAGTCTTTGCCATCACCAGCAGTGGAGGCCCCCAGGTTCTCCGGCCTGACCTGTACACAGAGCTGTTGTGCGCTCCCCCCCCACCACAGCCCCACTGAGGGCCAAGAGAAAGCTGAATCGCTACTGGACATGAACTCCAACCCGCTGGACTTGGATGATCTGAGGGTGACCTGACTTCCCCACCTCCTTCCTGGTTTAGTTCAGAGCCCAGGCCTGGGTTTGCCACCACATGATAACCATGGGCTTAGCACGCATGGAGCCCCTCAGGGTCTGTGAAGGTGCAGACTGGGGGTGGAGTCTGAGACTGTGTTTCCCAAGACCCGGATGCTGTGGGGCAGCAGGGCCAGACCTTGAGTGACTGCTGTGCGGTTCCAGCCAGTGTAGGGAACACAGGGGTTCAGAGGCTGCTGGCCTCTGGTTGGAGTGTCACCGAGGGACTCCTGAGTCTCCCTAGCTGAGCCTCCCCCAAGGAATAGAGCTGGCCCCTGGGCCAGCTAAGGGCTGACCCATGGACTGGGCTCTGGAGCCACTGAATCACAGGTCAGCCTGAGTCTCTGGTGCTGGTGACTGGGAGTGGAAGGAGAGAGAAGGGTGAGGAGTCAGCCGGGGTGGACAGTCCCTCTCACAGCCCTTGGGTCTTCATCCTGTCCCAGGCCCTGTATGGACACACCCAGGCTGTCACATGCCTGGCAGCATCAGTGACCTTCAGCCTCCTGGTGAGCGGCTCTCAGGACCGCACCTGCATCCTGTGGGACTTGGACCGCCTGGTGCACGTGGCACGCCTCCCTGCCCACCGAGAGGGCATCTCAGCCATCGCCATTAGCGACGTCTCGGTAAGGTTCCAGTTCCTCCATGTCTATGTGCCTTCATTATGGCCTGGTAGGCAGTACCCTGGGGAAAACACTGGGCCAGAGAGGGTGTGGGAGATGCCTGTGTGTGGTCCATTAGCTACGGATGAGCCTGTGTAGATTTAGTTTCTGCCTCTTCCCTGTCCTCCCGTGCTGACCTGAGGCACTGGGACACCAGGGACAGAAGCTCCACCTTTGGTAAGGGGCCTGCTGGGCGTGGCTACAGTTCCAACTGGTGGGCCTGGGCGGTGGAGAATGTGGACAGAGGCTCATGGAAGTCAGTGTGCCTGAAAATGGCTCAGCAGGCCGGCTTGACTACAGGGTGAATGTCCGATGGGTGGACAGAGGATGACCGGGAGTGGGTGGTAGGTGGGTGCATGGATGGGTGAGGGATGACAGATGGATGAGTAGGTGGGTGGGTGAGTGGATGGGTGCGTAAGGCATAGGTGTGTAAATAGTTGAATGTGTGGTTTCATTTGTGTCTGGATAAATGGATGAGCGGAAGGATGGGTGGATGGTGATGGTTGGGGATGGATGGTTAGGTGAGCAGACATGTTGGGGGAGAGAGCCCATGAAACCCAGAATGAATGGTGTCCCTAGACCCCAGAGAACCACTGTAAATTGTGATGCCAGACCGGGTGCAGGTCTGCAGAGGTGTGTCGGATGATCCCTGGCCTCAGTCAGATGATCCCTAACAATTTGGGAAATGTCACAGTGAAGCACAGCTTGAGGCAGGGCATGGAGCATACGCTGTCTCTTCTGTGGTTTAGCATGGCCCCAGCTGGTGATGAGGCCACCACTCCAGGGGATACAGGACAGACAGGACGTGGGGAGCAGAGGCTCTGGATGTGAATATTTCGGGAGATGCAGTAGGGCATTTCCTCTCTGCGATCTCTTGCTGGCCAGCGTCACATAGGCTCTGAGCCTCTGTGCCCTGACCTCTACCAGATGGATCCCAAGATCTCTTCACAGGGTCCACTGGCCAGCCATGTGTAGATTTGATGTCCAGAGCCAGGATTGCTTTGCGATGAATTTGTGAAGAATTTGTGTGAGTGAGCTAGTGTCTTAGAGGGTCTCAGGGTACCCTGACTGGCACCCCTGGTTGAGTTGCTTAGTTTACCAACTGGGTGTCTGAGAAATAGACCGAGGGACCACTGGTGACCCCAACTCTCACTGCTGCAGGGCACCATTGTCTCCTGTGCGGGTGCCCACTTGTCCCTGTGGGACGTGAACGGACAACCCCTGGCCAGCATCACCACAGCCTGGGGCCTGGAAGGAGCCATAACCTGCTGCTGCATGGTGGAGGGGCCAGCAGGGGACCCGAGCCACGTCGTCGTCACTGGGAGTCAAGACGGCATGGTGCGGGTAGGTGTGTGCTGGGCGGAGTGGGGCGTGGCCTTACAAGAAGTGTGTTCGCCTTCCTTTCGCCCATAAATAAAGGGGTGAATAAAGGGAAAGGCAAAGCTTCCTGGCAAAAAGCAAAATGGAATTATATAGATGACATTATTTGCATATAATAAAATAAAAACTGTTACGAAGGTGTGAATGTTGAATGGTCAAATTTAGTAGATTATAGCTCAGAGGTGAAGAGAAATATGCGTGACACTTCTCCAACCCAGCTTGCCCGTCCACCCATCCATCCACTAATCTATCTGCCACCTATCCACATGTCTCTCCATCCATCCACCTGTCCTTCTCTTTGTCCACCCTTCTGTCCATCATCCACCCACCCACCAAACCTGCACCTGCTGACCCCAGGCTCTGTGCTAACCCTTCCCACAGAGCACTGCAGATGCGCAGCAGTGAGGCCCGAGGACGAGGAAAACCCCTGCTCCAGGGGCTGGAACGTGATGGGGGTCGCGAAGTGCAGGCTGGGTCAGCCAGAGGAGCCCTGTGCAGTCTGAGCCCCCAGTGAGAGCCAGACACAGACAACCTGGTGGCCAGGGTGGCACATTGGGGCCACGTGGCACTAGCTCAGGAGCATGGTGCCAAGCTGGTTGCAGAGTCTGCACAGGGCAGGTGATGGGGGAGGGAGGAAGAGGGACTTAGGGACCCTGGGATGGGTGTGGACCCTTCAAGGCTCCCACTGTGACCTAACCAGGCCAGAGCTGGAGCCCTGAGCAGGCTTTTGTTGATGATAAATATTGTGCCCATAGCTTCTCTCAGGTCACCCCAGGTATGAGAAGAGGTGTCACTCCAGCCTGCAGACACAATCCTGTCCCCAGCCCGTGACATGTTCTCTTTTCTGGACAGATTTGGAAGACTGAAGATGTAAAGATGTCTGTTCCTGGGCAGGCAGCCACAGAGGAGCCCTGCATGCAGCCGCCCAGCCCCAGAGGTACCTGCCCTGCCCTATGCAGCCCTCCTCTCCTCCTGCCCCTGCCCTGTCCCACCAGGGCTGCAGAGCTCAGGGGAGCGTGGAGGCCATCGGGATGGCCACCAGGTGTGGAGACAGTGGGAGGACAGTCTGTACTGCAAGTTCCTGGTGACATGCCAACCAATGTAGAGATGCCCTGGAGAGTCCTGACCCCAGCCCGGTAGAGACTGTGACCCTGGGTGTTCCTTGGCCATGTAGATGGAGGTGTGGTAGGTGTCAGGGGTGCCTGAGCTTCAGGAGGGAGCCCCATGCTTCCCTAGATTGCAGAAGTTGTTCCTTCCCAGCCACCTGCCACATGCTGACTGTACCTGGCAGGCTCCCCATGGCAAGGTCCTCGAGGTGGTCCTGGGGATCACTTGCCTGAGCTTCACCAGGGACCATGTTAGATGTGTGGGTTTCCATCCCATTACTCAGCACATCCCCCTGAAAAAGCCTGTGAGGTGTTAGAATTGATACAGCTTGAGATTCGGGGTGCCCCAAAATAAGAGAACCACTGCCATATGACCAAAACCCACTCTGGGTGATGGCAGATAAGACTCACTTGAGAAAACCTGGTTCATCTTCATGGTCACTATCAGCCACACAGCTGTCATCTGGCCTCTCCACTGGGAACACAGATCCATATTCAGTGTCACTGCTGCCCAGTGCCCCTGGCCACCTCACCTCCTGTGGCACAGACACCTTCTCTCTCAGCTCTATCTTGACCAGAACAAAGATCTCTTCCATGGGTCTCATGATCCAAGGAAATGAGATCATGACATGAGAGTTCAGAGAGAGAGAGAGAGAGAGAGAGAGAGAGAGAGAGAGAGAGAGACACAGACAGACAGAGACAGAGAGAGAGAGAGAGACAGAGTTCTCCTGTCACCCAAGGCTTCCCATCTGTGTGTTCCACCTCCCAGAGCTGTGATCACCCCCACAAGAGCATTTCCCAGCTCCTGAGGGCACCCTCAGAAAAGAGAAGCCACTTTCAGTGTGTTGACCTCTACCACATGGTGCACACCTCTTTGATTTACCTGACTATTCACTCATCGCTTATAGCCTGTCCTAGGCTCTATTCTGGGACCTTTTCTTTCATCCAGGGACCCGTGTCACAGTCTAGGCTGACCCAGGACACTAACTCACAAAGACCTAGAACCAGACCCTGGTCCTGGTTTCTCTGGTGGACATAAAGACCATGAGGAACCATCTCATGCCATCCCATGCCATCCCATGCCATCCCATCCCATCCCATCCCATCCCATCCCATCCCATCCCATCCCATTCCATTCTATCATATCCTATCCATCTCAGTTGAGACAAGAGAAAATTTAGCCTGTGCAGTCTCAGGAACTCAGTACTTCTTTGGAGAACAAAGGTTAAAGTCCTTTCCCTAAATTAATGCACTGGGGAGATGCCCCCAGCCTGGTTAGAATATGGTTATGTAATACATCTGCATGAGACCATGTGCCATCATGGCCTGTGTACCACTTACCCATTTCTGAAGCCCTACTGAAGTCCAATAAGCATAAGCATTAGCTTAGCCCATGATGGATGGATGGATGGATGGATGGATGGATGGATGGATGGATAAATGGGTGGATGGATGGATAGATGGATTGGTAGATGGGTGGATGGGTGGATAGATGAGTGGATGGATGGATAGATGGGTGGATGGATGGATAGATTGGTGGATGGATGGATAGATGGGTGGATAGATGGGTGGATGGTTGGATAGATTGGTGGATGGATGGATAGATGGGCGGATGAATGGATGGATGGATGGATGGATGGATAGATGCATGGATGAGTGGATAGATGGATGGATAGATGAGTTGACAGATGGATAGATGAGTGGATGGATGGATAGATGTGTGAATGGATAGATGGATGGATAGCTGGATGGAGAGATGGATAAATGGATGAATAGATGGATGGATGGATAGATGGATAGATGGGTGGATGGATGGATAGATGGGTCAATGGATGAATGAATGGATGGATTTATGGATGGATGTATGGATGGATAGATGGGTGAATGGATGAATAAGTAGGTGGATGGATAGATACATGGAAGGATGGATATATGGATGGATGGGTGGATGGGTGGATGGATAGATGGGTGGATGGATGGATGGATGGAGGGATGGATGGATAGATAGATGGATAGATGTATGTATGTATGTGTGTATGTATGTATGTATATATGGATGGGTACATTGGTGGATGGATAGATGGATAGATAGGTGGATGGAGGGATGGATGGATGGATGGATAGATGAATGGATGAGGGGATGGAAAGAAAGATAAAGAAAAGTCATGTTGGAGCCATTCCATTGGTTCTGAACAAGCCCACGCCTCCTCTGTTCAGCATCAGCACGGTGATGAGATTGGGTTCACTGGCCAGGAGCCTGGTGAATATGTGGGAAATACAGCTTAAAAGCCAGCTCTGTCTCAGCACCTTGCCTGGCCCTGGTGTCCCTCTGTCAAGTGGAGACATTTTCTCTACTGCTTGTCTCACAGAATCCTGATGACAGGAAAGTAACAGGTGCAGCTCAGAACATGCTCCACAGTGCAGTTCATCACTGTCATGTTTGTACATGGCTAAGAGTGTCTTCTCCTTGAGCGTAGCAGCTGACGGCATTAGGGAAAATATTAGACAGTTTCGGGTCGACAAGGAGTCCCCGCTCTGCTCCTTCATCTGTGCTGTTTCCACTCAGGTTACCATTCCCCGGGCACACCGACAGCCAAGTGTGCCAGTAATTCAGGGAAGGGCAGGATGAAAGGGCACGAAGGCCGGGGATCAGAAAAGAGAATCACAGGGGGCCACAGTTTAGAGTCAACAAATCTGTGTGAAGATTTGCACCAGAACGTGCTGCAGATCTCTCATAAGGGAGCACGATGTTCTCATAACATCGCTCAAAACTGTTTTGTTGGGAAGGGATCAGGATTGAGCCTAACACATGGATATTTGCCATGTCCTCCTAGCCATGCATTACTGCATCCCCTCGAATGTCTTAAGGGGCCCTAAAGGAGAGCTCTGATGATCCTGAGGATATTGAATTTATGGGCAAATGTAATCTCATTTCTGCCTGGAATTGATTTATTTGTCATCTGCAGCAAGGACCCACCCAGATAGGTACAGGTTATGTCAGAAATCACCCCCTCACTTTGGACTCAACCCAGTACACAAAAAGCGCTCAGGAACACTTGTTTGGATTTGTGGAGGAACTTGAAAATGCCTGCTTCTAATTTAGGATGGTTCCCCCTGTTGAACCTCCTCCACACACACTCCCTGGGTACGGCCTGGCTGCACACCTCAGCGGCCACCCCAGGACAGCTGGGGCCACAGCAGCTCTCCGGCCTATGCCCAGCTGCTGCTTTTCCTCGTCCCACCCTTCACGTCGAAGGAATTACTGTCCATCCCCAAATGCAGTCATTAAGATGAGTGAAGTAACAATCATTGAGTTATATTTTCTGAAAAAACGTTCTCAGCATTTAATTATTGGTTGTGGCGTGTGAGGATTTAGATAAGTTGATAATGCCGACTTTATGCAATTTATTTTTACTAGGCAATTATGGGCTGCATTACATCCTGGCAGCAAGGTATTGTGGGGCATCTTATTAAGCATAAAGCCAGTAAACACTGATGAACAATTTTGCTGAACTAGGCACGCAATTTTGAAGGCAATAATACACAAATCCAATTTGGTGCACAATGGATCCGCGGCCCGTCAGCACATGTAACTATCACAGCCTGCAAATTAAATTGGGACGGCCCTCTTTGCAGCAGCACAGGCCAAGATTAAATATATTTTCCCCCTCAATTTAGCAAGTTGCTGACCACAAATATAAATACGTGTGTATGTGTCAGTGTGGACGCGTGTGGGCTTGTGTGTGAAGGCACCCGGGTGTCCTAACTGTTCCTTCGCACGCTCCCCACAGGTCACAAGTGGCAGAAGAATCTCGCCCTGTGCAGGGAGCTGGACGTCAGCCTCGCTCTGACAGGAAAGCCCAGCAAGGCCAGCCCTGCAGTGACAGCTCTGGCAGTGTCTAGGTGAGCACAGCCTGGTGCCTCAGGTCTCCAGCAGAGGGCGCTGGGCCACCCCGGGAAAGACCACCAGGCCCAGGAAGGCCATGGCAGGGCAGGCAGGGAGGAGGCTTGGGCTGCAGGGGTGCGGCCCCTGGTGCCAGTAGGAAACGGTTTTGTTTATTGTGTGGTCATCGTTCTCTGTGCATTTTCTGAGTGCTGGGGATCGAACTGAGGGCCTTTCCACTGAGCTACAGTCTCAGCCCTTTTTATGTTGAGACAGGGTCTTTGCAAGTCATGAAACGGCCCACACTGGACTTGAACTTTCCACCCTCTACCTCAGCCTCCCATGAGTGCTGAGATCACCGCTGTGTCCCACCACTCACAGCTGGTTCTCGTGGTTTTTAACTCACACTCTGCTTCCCTTCTTCCTGAACAGAGGAATCCAGAACACAGAGGTCTATCGATAGTTTTGAGATTTCTTTTCCTGAGTTCCACCGCCAATGGTGACACCTGGTTCCATCTCATTCTGTGCTAACAGAACCTGCTTTTGAGGCTCTGCACTAATTAGAGCAGGCTCCGTCAGGTGGCACAGTGACCCGAGGGGTGCTTCCCACAGCGGGCTCGCTGTGCGAGCTGGAAGCTTCTCTTCCTCCTCCTTGTCTGCAAGGACTGAGTGCTGCCCCCAGTACGGGGAGCAGCACGGGGCTCCTGATGCCCACCTGGGTGGGTGGGCAGCTGGCAGGCTGGCTGGACGCCCTGAAACCACTGCCGCCTCCCACACTGGCCTCCCTTCTTCTCCCCAGGAACCAGTCCAAGCTCCTGGTCGGCGACGAGAAGGGGAGAATATTCTGCTGGTCCACAGATGCGTAGGCTGCCACGGGGGACCTTGTGTGGCATGTGGTGTGGCCTTGTGTGGCACCGGGCAGTGGAAATGCTCGGTGCCTTCGGGAGCCTCCCCTCCCCAGGGTGCTGGAGGAAGGGGCCTCGACCACGCAGTGCTCTGGGCCCCAGACCACCCCTGTGGCCATGGGAGGACTAGAGACAGGCTATGAAGACCCTTCACGCTGGACGCCGACCTGCAGGTGACAAGCTCCGCAGGAAATGCACACAACTCTGCTGCTGCACTGAGAAAGGGGATCAGTCGCTGGAAACTCAGGGTGTGTTTCATTAAAGTGACTGTTTCCCAGTGCCAGAACTTGGCTTGCGGTCCTCTCTCTCTCCTCTCCTCTGGTGTCTCCATCTCCGCCGTGGCCGGGCCAGAGAGCTCAGGAGTCAGGAGAGTCGTCCAGCGCTGGCGGAGGGCAGTTGGGCTGAGGTGCAGCCACGCTCAGGCCTGCAGGGCTACCAGGGCTGCCCTCTCAGGGAGCCCAAGCAAGCAGCTGACCTGGACCTGTACTGGCTGTGACCTCAGAAGTCTGTGCTTGGAGGACTTCTGCTTCCCGCCTGCATCCCAGGCAGATGGGACACTCACCTGTGCCCTCTGAAGTTCAGGCGTTCTAGGGCAGGCTACCCTCTGGCCAGGCCTTGGGTGTCCATGGCCTTAGGCCAGGCTCAATCTAAAGTCCCCTCTCCACACCTAGACAATCAGAACCGGGAGGGACATTCGCCCGCTTCTCTGATAAAACCACATGGGGGCTGGGGAGGGGAGGCCCCTCACTTCAGCCTGCCTCGCCCCAGGCCTCTCTTCCAGGGCCCGAGCAGGAATACGAACCTCCCCATAACCGTGGCTATCCCCAAACCGTTCAGCCCGGGCCTAGGGACGAGATGGCGGGAGAGTGAGCGTGGTGTTGTGAGGCCCTTGCGGGGCAAATGCATCCTGAACTAGGCGTCCTCTGCACAGAGGAAGATGGGTGGAGCCCCTCCTGGGCTGGGGCACCCCGCCCTGGCTGGGCAGTGCTGTCGTTGACCCTGGGCCAAGGGCCGCCCCACCTGCCCTCTGTCTGTGCGCGCTATTATCCCACAGCCATTTGCAGTCCCCAGTCAGTCTGCCACTGCATCGAGGCCCATAAATTTAAGAGCAGACAGCACCATTCCCCGGGAAGGACAAGCGCAGGCCGTAAATATCAGGGCTGGGGTCATCTTTCAAAACACAGTTCACGACGTTCACCAAGGCTGAGAGCTCCCCTGGCCAGAGGGCCCTCTCCATTCACTCCACAAACGTTTTGGCCTTCATTTGCTGTGCCCTGTGGGAAGCTGGGGCGATGAGGTGGGGTCTTCTTCTTGGAGTTCAGGGGCCATAAAGTCATGAGGGCCCTTGGGAGATGTCTCACACCCCAGGGTGGGGGCACAGGGGGCTGTCGTAGACTGCCATAGACCGGAGGGCTTAGGTGACAAAAGTGTGTTTTCCCTCGGTCCTGGAGGCTGAAGTCCGAGACCCAGGTGCAGCAGCACAGTTTGCCCTGAGCCTCTCTCCTTAGCCTGCAGACCCCGTCCTCTCTCGGGGTCCTGACAGGGTGCAGCCTCTGAGCGTATCTGCAGACACACCCCAGGATAGAGGTCTGGCTCTGGCTCCCAGCTGCAGCCCCTGGTTCCATCCAAGATGGTAGAAACCACAATGCCGGGCGGTGTAGACTCTGTGTCCCTGCTGTGAGGACATCAGGAACAGGAGGTGAGGTGACAAAGAGATGCTAGTCCCTGCCACCCGCCCAGGTGCTGCAGCTCAGGCAGATGGCTTGGGAGGAGCCTCTGAACCCTCGGCCTGTGTGCCACCCCCTTGCACCTGCTCCATTCTGAGCTGGCCAGCAGCACCACCCTCCACAATGATTTCCTAGCCACAGTGATACCAATTCTGCCCTGGCTGTGCAGCTACCAGCCCCGTGCTGGCCCCACCAGCAGCGCCACCACCCCGGTTCCCAGGAAGTCCCAGGTCCATTGCCTCTGCATACCCTGAACACGACCCCTTCATTCCAGAAGTCACCGGGGCTCTCTAGCTCCAGGAGTGGGCAGTGTCACTTTGTGGTGGACACTTTTTGTCCTTTATACAGGATAACAAAAACTGTGAGAGTACAAGACCTCGTCAGGCAGGCACTGGAGTCCTGAGGGGTGACATCACCGTGCAGGGTCCCCTAAGGTGCAAGCTGTGTCTCACACTTATGAGCAAGGCCGTCACGGTCTGGGGAAACTCAGTGTCCCCAGGGGCTGGTGTCTGAATATAAGTCTGGCCACCCTGCCCCTGGGACCCTGTTGGACATGGGGCCTGGGGTTTAAGGCACAAGGGCTCCAAGTGCCACCCCGAGTCCTGGCTTCCCTGAGGTGCAGCCTCTGTAAGCCACTGCCTTGTCCTCCAGGTCCCACAGGGAGAGCTCAGTCCCCGGAGGTGACAGCAGTGTTGCCACAGCCAGAGCCTGGGCCGAGAACCCAGATCTGCAGAGAAGAAACACAAGACCGGATTGGTCCGCCGAGACGCAGGCAGGCAGGGCATTCTGAAGAGGGGTCAGCACGTGACATGAAAATCCAGACCGAATCTGTTTTGCATCAAAGCAAATCTCTGTGAGCCCAAATCAGATTTGCCTCAGTCAGTCCTTGGGAACGCATCCTACGTTTGATCAGGGTGTGTCTCTAAGTGTGTGTGTACATGTGTGTCTGAGTGTGCGTGTGTGTCTGTGAGCATGAGAGTGTGTATATGGATGTGTACATGTATGGGGACCTGTCCTTGTGTGTGTGCACACTTGTGTCCCTGTGCTAGAGCGTGTTTTCTGAGCACCTTCTCACCCTCAGGCAGCAGCAGGTCCCTCCTCTCCACACCGCCCCTTCCCAGGTTCCCAGAGGCTCAGGTCCTGCACCAAGGTCTCTGTTTCCCTTGCCTCAGACCCTCCCCTGCCTCTCCCCAAAAGGCCAAAGGTGACTTGGGCAGGGAGGGCTGAGCCCTATGCTGAGCTGAACTGACTTCCCTGCAGATGCTCAGTGACAGCAGCGTGGGGAGGTGGCCTTGGCCATCCTGTGAAGCCCTCACTGGACCTGAGATGGGCCAGCTGTGCACAGCCTCTGTTATGCAGGGCGGTGGATGGTGACAGTCCCAGCTATGCAGATGGGGACAACCAGCCTCTGAGCTTCTGCACAGATGACCCTTGGGGCCCCAGGGTCCTGAATTGGAGGTTTTGGGGGCAGGCAGAGCTGGGGGTATCTCCTGTATGGGCAGTGCCCCTAATTACTTGATCTGCATACTTTGGAGAGGCTCAGGGACAGTGGAATCTGTCACCTCCTACTTCATTCTTTGGTGGCTGTCCCAGGAGTGGGTGTTATGGGACTGGCCTGGGATCCTTTTAGTTTACAACCCCTGCCCTGTGCCTCATGGGAGACCCAGGGCTGGGGGAGGGTACAGAAGCCCCTGTCCTGCTAATGGGGCGGGCAGGGCACCTCTTTGAGTGATTGCGTGGTTTTCTCAGCATTGGCAGGGGGCTTCCTGCCTGGAGCCCCACGCCCATCAAAGTTACCCTGGTGATTTGCTGGGCACTTTCCCCTTTAGGTGCCAGGGTACAAGGATGGGCAGGAATCCTCTCCTCTTGGGACTTCACTCTCTGGAAGGCAGATGGCAAAAGTGAGAGGGTCCTTGTGCAGGTCTGGCATCCGGGAGACCTGGGGACACAGGAGGCCCACGGCCAGGGATGCACTGAGACACTTGGCTATGGGGAGGAAGAGGAGCCCACGAGGCTGTGACCCCATGCCCACGGCTCCCAGGTGGGGATGCCAGGGTCTGGCTGGAGCAGTGCCCAGCTGTGGCTGAAGGGCCCAGACCTGGCAAGTGTCTCTGCCATGCTTGACTTTAGGTTCTGTCTTCAGGTATGAGATGTGATCACTGTGTCCCTCCCTGGCCCTCTGTCACTTGTGCCCCACCGCCTTCATCTGGGCCACCTGAACTGCACACAGCTCAGGGAGGGGGACTTTAACGTACCATCTGCCTCCCCCACAGTCCTGCCACCCGGGCTGCTTTGTCTCTGAGTCCACATGCCAAGGCCTGATGCCACGGGGATGTGGAGAGGTGCTTGTGAGGGAACCCAGGCTGGGCATCATGTGGGCCTGGCTCCAGCAGGAGAGGCCAGGATCTGGGTGGGCTGTGGCCTCTCAGTGGGGTGGAGGCAGAGACCCGCCCCTCCCCTAAAGGCTCCTCTAGGCTGCAGAAGAAAAGGATCCAGAAAAAAACGAGGGTCTGCACCACCAAAGCCTCAGGGTGAAATCACTCACCTCTGTGTCTATGGCCAAAGCACAGGGCCTCAAGGTCAGAGACAGTGTCCTGGTCATTCAGCGTCTCTCCTGTGCAGAAGGAGTCAGCCCCATGAGCGCATCAAAAAGGCAAACGGAATGTGCTACCTAGGGTCTGGCCAGTGCATGATGGCAAGTAATGATGGGCACTGCCCATACAGGAGTCACCCCCAGCTCTGCCTGCCCCAAAACCTCCAGTTCAGGACCCTGGGGCCCCAAGGGGCATCTGTGCAGAGGCTCAGAAGCTGGCAGTCCCCTGTCTGCATAGCTGGGCTCCAAGCCCTGGCTGACACGGGGCTTGGAGAACACAGCTGGAGTCATGTCCAGCATGGGGCCCTGGGATAAACATGCAGTGTCCATGATTACACACAGCCATGTTGGCGGTGACACACAGAGTCTGCAGGGGGTGCCCCTTCCTGGCCAGTGTCCAGGGCATGGACTGGCACCTGTCCTCGATGTCCCAACCTGAAATGTGAAGCCAGGAACGGAACCAGCCTTGCCCTCGTCCATTCCCGGCAGTCATCCTGCCTTGTCACCTACCTGTGGCCTCAATGCTGGACAGGGCACCACAGGGCCACTGTAGACCCTAGAGTTTCTCAGCCTGCGAGGGGCCAACCAGAGGGAGACAGCCAGTACACTCATGTGCCTTTAGGGAGGGGTAAGGGAGGCTGGGGATGAGACTTATGGTAGGGGACAGAGCGGTCAATAAAGGTGACATTTAGGGAGGGACAGAGCCCCGTGGGGGTCGGGGTGCATTCCAGGCACACGGATGTGTAGGTGCCAGCCCTAGACAGGAAGGAGTAAGCTGCTTTCAGAAACAAAGCGGGGTGACAGAGTGCTGGTGGACGGCAGCAGAGAGCTCGGTGTTGCAGGGGGACAGGGCGAGGGTCACTGAGTCCTCATCAGCAGGGCGGCCCCAGGCTGCGGACAGAGAAGGGAGTGAGCTGCCTCTGCGCACAAAAAGGCACAGTGACCTTGGCCACACCAGCAACCTGG